CCTCTTCCCCACCTCCCCCTCTTCCATTTTGCAATCAGAGTCCCTTGTTTTTGACTTGAATCCTCTAGAACAGGGGTCTCCAACCTTGGCAACTTTAAGCCTGGAGGACTTCAACTCCCAGAATACCCCAGCCAGCTTTGCTGGCTGGGGCATTCTGGGAGTTGAAGTCCTCCAGGCTTAAAGTTGCCAAGGTTGGAGACCCCTGCTCTAGAACCATATTTATTTATTTTTCTCCCACAGCATCTGCTTCCGGGGTCTTCCACAATTCTAAGTAATTTAATGTAGCTAGTTACAGATTAACAGAGTTAGAAGGGACCTTACAGGTCATTTAATCCAACCCCACACCCAAGCAGGAGACCCTGCACCATTTCTGACAGATGGCAGTCCAATCTTTTCTTGAAAGCCTCCAGTGATGGATGTTTCCACAACTTCCAAGGGCAAGCTGTTCCATTGGTTGTTCTCCGTCAGAACGTTTCTCCTTATTTCCAGGTTGAATCTCTCCTTGTTCAGTTTCCATCCATTATTCCTTGCCTGGCCTTTGGGTGCTTTGGATAATAGCTTGGCCCCTTCCTCTCTGTGGCAGCCCCTCAAATATTGGAAGACTGCTATCATGTCTCCCCTGGTCCTTCTCTTCACCACACTAGCCAAGCCCCGTTCCTGTAACTGTTCTTCATATGCTTTAGTCTCCAGTCCCCTAATCATCTTGGTTGCTCTTCTCTGCACTTTTTCTACAGTCTCAACATCTTTTTTATAGTGTGGTGACCAAAACTGGATGCAGTACTCTAGGTGTAGTCTTAGTAAAGATGGTGCATCTGAAGTTATCTAAAGAAGGCTGAATGTTCATATGCTCGTAACAAATCCCACTGGCTGAGGCTGCTAAACACCCAGTTAAATCTGAAAGGTTGCAAGAGTCTGTACAGGCAGTCCTCAATTTATAAGTGTTCACTTAGCGACTGCTCAAAGTTACAACAGACCTCCCTGGGAGTACTTATGACCTGGATTTTAATTTCTGACAGCCGGCTGTCCCTGGATCGAGTGATGCCATTTCATGACAATTTTGCGGTAAACTGTCATTTACTTCTGGTTTTCGTCACAACAAAGTTTGTAAAATTAGGACAGTTTACATAGGTGATCCGATTTATAACTGCCACAAGTTACTACCATGATGGGTAGGCTCTGCTGCAATCATTAACTTGAGGGCTACCTGTATGCTGGATTTAAGGGAGAACACTGGCCAGTGCTACAGGCCATTTCTAAAGCAAAGGGATATACATGGCTAAATGGCCACAGAAATCAGTAACCTGTGCCTTTGGAACTTCCCTGTTTTCCCAATTAATCCCTATGTCATGATTGTGGCACAATTACACTCCAGGAAATGCTACTGGAGCAGTGTCTAAGGATGACATCCTCCTGACTTTGGAATCTGCATGAATTAATCTGCCAATTTCCAGCTCAAGCTTTTCTTGTTTCGTTTTTGCCAAAAAAGAAAAACCTGCTTTTATAAAACCCGGAACTATTTTCCTCCCAGAAATGTTTACAGAAAGGCTGGGAGCCGTCCACTTGGCTATTGTGCCTGCACCAACAGCATTTTAAGCAAAAAAAACCTTATTGCACATTTCAAAAATGTTGATGCTTATTTCAAGCCCATGTGGGCACACTAACCAGAACTGCAGAAAGGAAAATGTTCGCCATCTTCAGTAACATGAGATAGGCTTATGTCCAGTTGAGATTGCTTGAGTGGACTAGACAGAGTTGAAAGTTAGAAAAATCATGGAGAAAAATTGGTTGGATGATGGGGTTAGGTTTCCACCTGCTGTGGATATTTCAAGTTTTGAAGAAATATTCCAACCGTGGATGCTTTTTCAATACTCCAAGACTGATTATCTCAATGAGATCTAGTCTCATGCAAGAGAATATAATACATTACACATGTGTGACCAATGTTAACTGGGGTTCTTTTTTAAAGCAGTTCCTTACAATTTAGCTTTTGGGTCTTTTTACCATAGCAACACAGAAGCATCCAATTTTATATTGCTAGTTTTTTTCCCCCTGGGAAAGAGAGAACTCTAGCCAGGAGAGACCTTAAATGTGTTTGGAACAAGAATATGTCTTTAACCCCAACCCACCTCAAAGGCACCAAAGGGAATATATCCTACTCCTTACTGGTATCTGATACTGAGATATACCGCTCCTGAATAGGGAAGTTCCATTTAGAAGTTGATACTTTTAAATTGCTATGATGCTATGCTGGTACTCATCCTAAACTCTGCCCCCAGGAGGAGGAGGAGAAGTCACTGACCTACATCCTGCCAGCCAAAATTTATGTCTCAATTCTGGGCTTCTAAAAAAAAAAAAAAATTGTCTACCTTTTCTAAATCTCAACAGATAACATGTCTTTTCTCCCATCTTCCCAGAATTGTTTGAAAAAGTTGGCTTTATACAACTGGCAGTTCCACCTCCTGGAACTACAGTTCCTAGCCATAATGATGTAGTGACCAGGAACCATGGGGATTGTAATCCACACATGCAGTGCTCAACCAGTTGGGAACAATGGTCTAAGGCTCAGGGAATCGCTTCCCAACTTTAGCTACTGTAGGATTATGAAGACTTCAGATCCCAAAATTCCACAGCCAAGATGGCTGGTTGGGGAATTCTGGGAATTGAAGTCCTCATATCTTATTGAGAAAGACTAGCCTAGGGGACTGAATAGAACAGAGCTGGAAGGGACCTTGGAGGTCTTCTAGTCCAGCCCCTTGCTGAAGCAGGAGAACCTATACCATTTCAGGTAAGTGATTGTCTAGTCTCCTCTTAAAAACCTCCAGTGATGGAGTGCCCATGATTTCTGAAAGCAAGCTGGGATAAGATAAAGATTCCCCTCACACATACGTGCTAGTCATTTCCGGCTCTAGGGGGTGGTGCTTATCTCCGTTACAAAGCCAAAGAACCAGCGCTGTCCAAAGACGTCTTCGTGGTCATGTGGCCGGCATGACAAAATGCCCAAAGGCGCACGGAACGCTGTTATCTTCCCACCAAAGGTGGTCCCCATTTTTCTACTTGCATTTTTACATGCTTTCGAACTGCTAGGTTGTCAGAAGCTGGGACAAGTAACGGGAGCTCACTCCATTACACGTTGCTAGGGATTCGAACCGGCAAACTGCCAACCTTTCTGATTGACAAGCTCAGGGTTTTAGCCACTGAGCCATCCCATGTTGGGACACAATACACCAACCCCTTAACTTTACAATACACCAGCACTTTTATAGAGGTCAGCACTAAGGGGAGAATAGTCTCCAGAAATGCGTCAAAGCATTGAGCACCCCACTTCTAGTATCCTACAGACAGCTAATAAGAGTTCGCCCAATTATCCAATGGGCATCAGGTTGGAGAAATCAATTTTTAGACCTCCCACCCATTGTTCTCCATTAACTAGGCCTTGGGAACCAAAAGGATTGCTGTAAAAAAATGTTCTGGAAGAATCATCAAATTCCAGCTTATGCAGGCCATGTTATCTATCGTTGAATGAGCAAGCATCTTTGCCCACAGACCTAGGAAACTGGGTCTTCCTGCTTTTTGCTTTGCTTCTTCTTCCCTTTCAGCGATCCCCACCTCCACCCGAAACTAAAAGTTTCCAACACCAGCCAGACACCCAGTATCTGCAAGATCCAAAGCTGTCTGCAATACAAGTAGTCCTCGACTTACAACCATTCGTTTAGTGACCGTTCGAAGTCACTATGGCACTGGAAAAAGGGACTTGTGTTTTTCACGCTTACGATCATTGTAGGATCCCCACAGTCACGTGATCAAAAAATTCCAACTCTTGATCATTGGCTCCTACTTATGGAGGTTGCAATCTCCTGGGGTCATGTGATTTCTCCTTCTGACAAGCAAAGCCAACAGGGGAAGCCAGATTCACATAACAACTGTATTACTAACTGAAGGATTAACTTCAGTTAACTTAATCAAGGATTGACTCAACAACCGTGGCAAGAAAGCTTGTCAAATGGAGCATAACTCAACAATTGTCTTGCTTAGCCGCAGAAAATTTTTGAGCTCAATTGTTATCAAATGAAGTAGAATATTTTAGCTCAGGGTTAACATGAGGGGTGGTCCTTGGTGCTCTCTGAGCTTCGTTTTTTTCTTGCAGATGTTTCCTTATCCAAATAACAGAATAGAATATAGAAAATAAAATAGAATAGAAAATAGAATACAATATAGAGTAGAGAATAGAATAGAAAATGGAATAGAATATAAAATTGAGTAGAGAATAGAATAGAAAATAAAATAGAACAGAATAAAAAATAGAATAGAATATAAAATAGAATAGAGAATAGAATAGAAAATAAAATAGAACAGAATAGAAAATAGAATAGAATATAAAATAGAATAGAGAATAGAATAGAAAATAGAATAGAGAATAGAATAGAAAATAGAATAGAATTTAAAATAAAAGAATATAAAATAGAATAGAATAGAATATAAAATTGAGTAGAGAATAGAATATAAAATAGAATAGAGAACAGAAAATAAAATAGAACAGAATATAAAATAGAATAGAGAATGGGATAGAAAATAAAATCAAATAGAGAATAGAATAGAAAATAGAGAATAGAATAGAAAAGAAAATGGAATAGAATAGAAAATAGAACAGAATTCTTTATTCGCCAAGTGTGATTGGACACACAAGGAATTTGTCTTTAGTGCATAAGCTCACAGTGTACATAAAAGAGATAAGTGATAAATCATGACCATAGTCGTCATAAATACATTCTTCATCAAACTAAGTAACATCATCAGTGCTAGTAACTAGTGACCTAGTTTGGGTAATGAAACGCCTGCAAGAAAACAGCCAAGCTCAGCAAGAACCAAGAGCTCAATTGTGGCTGTAAGTAGAGGACTACCCATATAAGATGCACACCAGGTATATCCCTTCCCTTCAAATTTCCCCGCAAACGCATCAGTAAGAATCAGGAACTAGAACAGAAGGTTTTTTTTCCAGCATGAAGTTGATTTCCAGTTATTCCCAGCAACAATTCAGCCCCAAGGATTCTAGCTGAGGTGGCATCAGAAGTTGCCAAGTTATGGCAAAACAAAAAATTGTTTTTAAATCACATTGTGGTAAAGGAGAAAAAAAAAAACAGTCACAGCTACCCAGGTCTTCTCTGGGAAAGTGGAACAGGAGCTAGAAAACTGTAGTGTTTCAACTGTAGTGTAGTCGCAATGTAGTGTTTCAGTGTGATTCTTTGGTCTCAGCATCTGGATTTTTGTTTTCAAAAGCACGGAGGTCTTCAGGAAGTCTTGAGGCAGAAAAGGAGCCCATGAAATTCCACACAAAACAGCCAAGGGATGGGCTCCAAACCCACAAGGTTGCCCTTTCGCCCCCAGTTGTAACTTGGCATCGGGGTGGGTGGTGGTGGTAGTCACGTTTTGCAAACTATATCGCAGTGTGGCTGAAATGTAAGCTGCCCTCCTGGAAGATCTGGGCCCATGAGGGGACTCCAGTGCCAAAGCCACGTGCCCTTCCCCCACCCCATGTGGAAGGAGGGGCTCTGGGTGGGCCCCCTGGGACCCTAATGGCCTATCTGCCGGTCATCGTAGGTGCTGTATCGCTTGACGTGAATGCGCCTGACTCGCTCACGCGGCTCGTAGTTGCCATCCTCGTCTTCCCCGCGGGAGGCCTGGCTCCGATTTTGGCTCGTGGCCTCCAGTAAGGAATTGTCAGGCACCCGGGGAGTCTCATATAGCAGGATGTTAAGCGTTTCCTCGTAGATGCGGGCCTCAGGGAATTCGACCTGGAGGAGGAAGAAGAAGATGCAGCTTTGGAAATCAAAACAACGGTTCCATCTTGCCTCCCTCACACAGACCGTCACCTGTAACCCTGAGATCTCAGAAGGATCAGGGCCTGAAAGCCATCAGGATCCCCCCACAGTGGCCGCTTGCCAGGCAAAAGAAAACAGGCACCAAGATAGGGTTCAAAAGTACAGGTAGTCCTCGACTTACAACCACAATTGAAGCCAACATTTCTGATGTTCAGGGAGGCATTTATTGAGTTTTGTCCCATTTTACGATCTTTCTTGCCACAGTTGTTATGCGAATCACTGCAGCTGATGTTATTAACTCGGTTGTTAAGTGAATCTGGCTATCCCATTGCCTTTCCTGTCAGGTCACAAAAAGTGATCACATGACCCTGGGACACTGCAACAGTCATAAATATGAACCAGTTGTCGGGCATGTGAATTTTGATCACACGGTTGTGGGGATGCTGCAAAGGTTGTGTCTTCGAAAAACGGTCGTAAGTCAATTTTTTTTTTAGTGCTGCTGTAACTTTGAACAGTCACTAAATGAACTGTTGTAAATCAAGGACTAACCCTAACCCTAACCTAGGCCACGCCCACCCCAGCTCTGCGAATGGGAAAACCTCCGTGAAAAGTCACGTGATGGCAATGTGATGCCACAAGTTTGACACCCATGATCTAGTCCAGAGGTCTTCCAACCTTGGCAACTTTAAGCCAGGCGGACTTCAACTCCCAGAATTCTCCAGTCAGCTTTGAAGTCCGCCTGGCTTAAAAGTTGCCAAGGTTGGAGGCCTCTGGACTAGTCCCATTTTCCTGTCTGATTTACCAGGAGGGCTGACATGCGCCCAGCAAGTAGAGCGAAGAGCAGAGTAACATCATTCAATTAGGGCTACTACTTGTCAAGGAAAGGAGTCTAATTTCTTGACAGGTAAGAGCTGGCTGCAGCCTGATTTAAGAAGCATCTCTCTTCCCTTTCTTGCAAGCAACATCTTGTGTGACATGCCTGTTGGCATAAGAAACCTTGAACCTCTGAACGGGCCGACAACTTGGACTGACCCAAACTTTTGAACCGACTATTCTCCTTGCTCCTATTTGAAAGCAACTCCATTCAGGGAAGCATCTAAGTCTCTGTTTTACTTTGCACGCTATTGTATTTTGGCCTTGAATAAACCGAGAAGGTACCATAGCAACTGTCTTGTGAGTCAGAAATGGAAAGCAGGACACTGTCTCCAATATCTGGATTTAAGATCTGCTCTCTGCAGCAACCACTCCAGAGGTGGTATTCAGCAGGTTCTGACCAGTTCCGGAGAACCGGTAGCGGAAATTCTGAGTAGTTCAGAAAACTGGCAAATCCCACCTCTGACTGGCCCCGCCCCCATCTACTCTCTGCCTCCCATTGAGTCCCAGCTGATTGGCTGGGTCTTCTTTGGTTGCCCTGCACAGGAGAACAGAGCTGGAAAGCAGGTTAGTGGGGTGGGGAGGGAATGGGGATTTTGCAGTATCCTTCCCCTGCCACGCCCTCCAAGCCACACCACGCCCACCAAGCCAAGGTAGTAAAACATATTGAATCCCACCACTGCTCCACTCTAAGAAAAGTTAAATTCCCTGGTGGATTCCCCTCCAACTGAGTCAAGCAAAAGGCTAGCCGGCTGCCAAACACCCCACCACCATCTCCATTTCAGAGAACGCCTTTCAGCACCCCTCCTCTGACATGGATGCTGGAGCAGTAAAAAGCACATTGAAATACAGGCTCTGATGTAAGATTTAAATCTGTCCTAAGACTTAAGGGTCAGTGATTTCATTTTCAGCCCCTCCACTCCAAAATGGCTATTTCAACTGGCTTGCCGTGGTAGCCATTTCACAAAGGGGAAGCAGCCATTTTGACAGCAAGCAGTAGCACGTAAGACTTATATATCGCTTTACAGTGCTTCGTAGCCCTAAGTGGTTTACAGAGTGAGCATATTGCCCCCAACAATCCGGCTCCTCATTTTACCCACCTTGGAAGGACAGAAGGCTGAGTCAACCATGAGCCTGGTGAGATTCGAAGTGCCAAATCGCAGGCAGCCGGCAGTCAGCAGAAGTAGCCTGCAGTACTGCACTCTAACCACTGCGCCACTGCGGCTCAAGATGCTTCCCTTAATGATGTGTAAGAACAACCTTGGGATATGTGTGGAAGAAAGGCTGCCTAGGAAACTATCAGATAAAGGACGGAGGGAGCCTGCAGCTTCATAACAGGCAGAAGAAGAAACTCAGAAAGAAGGCTTGTACTTTCAGACTTGCAAGATTCTGTTAAGACAGCCTTACAATAATGTAAAATTAGCTCACCTGGTCATGTTTTCTGTCTAGTCTACCTGGGAGATTGAGGTCCCCTCCACCCCCACAATGGCAGGTATCATCTTCTTCTTTGAATGACCCCTTAATCCCTTGCTTGGTGGATTCTGGGTAACTGAATAGAATTGGACTTTTTACTGGCCGAATGCCTTTCCTTTCACCAATATGGAGTTTTGTTCAGCATATATAGTCTCATTGTGCCCAGAGAGAGAAACATCAGCCTCTACCTAGGATCGAACTCACAGCCTCCTGATTGTGAGGAGAGAGCTCTACTTCTAGGCCACCGCACCACCCCACTGCAGCATGTTTCCCAGGTATTAATCCTGAGCCCTTCACCCTCTCAGCTCGGATCTCCATCCCAGGGACCGGAATCGCCAATTACCTTCGTTTGCTTCTTTTCCGTGGCGTAAACAATGGAGGTGCAACAGACTTCAGCCAGCTTCCGCCCCTGGCCAAAGAAACTCCAGCAGCAGATCTCGTCCCCGATGACGTCCTTGATGAAAAGTACCCTCTTGTTGAATCGGAGCGAGAGCTTGTCAAAGAGTTCGATGTTCTTCAGGAGATTGTCGTCGGAGTTGCTGGAATGGGGGGGGGGGGGGAGGAAAGAAAAAGAAACAACAATGGTTTTTTTTCTTTGATTTTATTTATTAAATTTGTACACCGCTCAAACTCGCCATCGAAAGCGATTCTGGGCAATTGGGAGGCCGGAAGGATTCCGTATCTCCGCTCTCTCCTCCGGCGCCAAAAAACATTGTGTCGAGGGATGTGTGGAGCCCCCCTAGATCCAGCGGCTCCCTTGTGCAAGCAGAGGCATCTGGAGATAGAGGTAGTCCTTGACTTACGACCAGAATGGAGCCCAAAATTTACTGTTGCTAAGCGAGACAGTTTGAGCCTCCCCCCCTCCATTTTACGACCTTTCTTTCCACGGTTGTTAAGAGAATCCCTGCAGTTGTGAAACGGTTAGCGAAGCAGTTGTGAAGCGAATCTGGTTTCCCCACTGACTCTGCTTGTCGGAAGGTCGCAAAAAGGGGACCACTTGGTCCTGGGACACAGCAATGGTCATAACCATGAACCAATTGCCAAGCGCTCGAATTTTGATCACATGACTCTAGGACCCAGCAACCATCATAAATAGGAACCAGTTGTCAAGCATCTGAATGTTGATCATGTGACCATGGGGATGTGGCAAGCCGTAAGTATGAAAAAGGGCCATAAAGTCACTTTTTTTGGGTGCTGCTGAACTTTGAACAGGTCACTAAATGAATGGCTGTAAGTCAAGGACTACCCGTACAGAGGTTTTCACATGCTAAGGGTTCCAAAGGACAGGATGCTCTCACCTGGTCCAGGATTGAGCTGGGCCTCTGGTTCTACTGGCGCCACCACTCTGGCATTCAGCAGAAAAGGACAGACTAAAATGGGCCAAAACTCACTTTAACTCTCTTGCTTAGCATCGGAAATGTAGGACTTATTTGTTAGTCGTAAGTTGAGGACTACCTGTAGATAAACTAAAAGGATCTACTCAGAGGTTACTCAGAGGTCCAGCCTCTGGCTCCATTTTCTTTCCTGGAAAATAAAAATGGCAGGGTTTTTATTACGAAACGTACTCCTAATCCAAAAGGGGAGGGGAAAAAAAAGATTTGGGGGAGTGTGTATTGTGAGAAAGAGTCATAGATCATGGTCATGCTGCAAATGGCAGTAAATGTGGGTTGGTTGCCGAGAGCCCGAAATGCGGAGATGTTCAGAACCAAGTCATAAGTACTTTACTTAGGTCCACTGTAACTTTGAACAGTTGCTAAGTGACCGATCATATATGAGGATTACTTTTAATGTATTTTATGTATGTATATATGTATGTGTGTGTGTGTATATGTATATGTATCCTCTAACCCCCACTCCTTTAACCTCAAACTAACTACTATTGACCTCACCCCATTCCTAAGAGGTCTGTAAGGGGCGTGCATAAGTGCACCATCGTGCCTACTGTCCCTGTAGTATTGTCCCCATTTATTCGTATTTATTTCCTGTATTCTTACTCATGTATTCTTACTCATGTTTATACTTATACCTATTATCTTGTGATTGACAAATCAAATAAATAAAATAAATGTATATACATACACACACATATACATACATATATACACATATATATACTCAAATATACACGCACACATACACACATACACTCAAATCATAGGTCGAGGGCTACTTTGGAATTCAGCCCCACAGTACCTGGTTTTTGTTCAAGGTAACTAGCTTGACATCCTGGCCCCTGTCACAGATGGATTACAAAACAGGTGAATTTGTATCCAAATACCAGTTAATCCTTAGCTCTGATTTTTCATTGCTAATGCAGCAATCTTGTTGTTTACTTTAAACAGCAGTGACTTCATTTCTACTGCTGCTACTATAATTAATATCTTTTTACCTTGTACTTTGACCAGAGAATTGTCATGTAAAGGTAGATAAGACGCAGAAATGCAATTAAATGTTAAGTCAGTGGCAAAATAATCTTGACTGCTGTTTTTAAAGCTTGAATAGATCTTAAAGCGTCTTTTCTAGGGTTTGTGCCTAGGATTAATTTGCCAAGCTCTGACTGAAGACTCAGAGTACAATTGCTTTGCTACAGTAATAGAATTTTTCAGTTTAATGACTGATTTCTAAGGTGGCTTTGAATCGGATCAATTCCCATTCTCTCCAAGACGTCCTTTTGCCTTGTTTCAATACGTAACTACAAAATGCAAACTTTCTTTTACTTTTAAAATGTACACGTTACATTTTATATTGTAAATCATACCTATCTGCAATACATGCTACGTTTTATGCACGTAACAGGTTGCCCTCAACTTATGACTAATTAAGCCTGTAATTATGGTTGTTAAGTCGTGCTAGTTATAACCATGCGACCACACCTAATTTTACAACCCTTGTTGCGGCAGTTGTTAAACCACCGGCATGGTTGTTATGCGAACTCGTTGTTCACTGTGGGTAGGTTTTGCTCAAAACTGGAAGTAAATGCCAAACTCTAGCAAAAAAACATCATAGCTCATGGTCATGTGACCATGGGACGCTGCAAATGGCAGTAAATGTGGGCTGGTTGCCGAGAGCCTGAAATGCAGAGATGTTCAGAACCAAGTCATAAATATTTTTCTTAGGTCCATTGTAACTTTGAACAGTTGCTAAGTGACCGATCATATATGAGGATTACTTTTAATGTAATGTAATGTAATGTAATGTAATGTAATGTATGTATATGTATCTTCTAACCCAGGGGTCCCCAACCACCGGTCTGCGGACCGGTACCGGTCCGTGGAACAAGTCCTACCGGGCCGCTGGCTTGCTGGGCACCGCCATCTTGTTTTGATGAAAAAGTGCTTCCGGTGAGCTTTTCCGGGTAGAAAGCTCACCGGAAGCACTTTTTCATCAAAACAAGATGGCGGCGCCCAGCGCTTCCGGTGAGCTTTTCCGGGTAGAAAGCCATTTCTACCCGGAAAAGCTCACCAAAAGCGCTGGGCGCCATCTTGTTTTGATGAAAAAGTGCTTCTGGTGAGGTCACCGGAAGCACTTTTTCATCAAAACAAGATGGCAGCGCCCAGCTGATGTCAGTACCGGGCCGCGCCATAAAAAAGGTTGGGGATCACTGCTCTAACCTATAGGTGGCTGGCCAGGGGAGGAGTGAAGTAACCAAGCAACCGGGCAGCACCTTGATTGGACAGCGTAATCAGTGACTTGGGAGAAAGGGGAAACGTTTACTTTTTCATTAGGTGAAAGCCGTGGGAACTTTCAGAGTCGGCTTTCACCAGTTGTGCCAATATGCCGCATCCAATAAATTGTTCTTTGAGGAATTTGCCTGCCTCAGAGTTCTGCTTTCTATGGGTGCATTACTCGGAACGCTGATATCGCCGTTGTGACTTTGAACAGTCACGAAGTGAACTGTTGTAAGCCGAGGACTACCTGTACAGTGTTGCAAAGCTTTTAGGTCTGCTTGGGGGGGTCTTCCTAGATTCAACTGGTGGATCACCGCAGAAACAGGAGGGTGAATCCGACCTTCCCAGAGTTCCAAACTTTTGTCTTTTAAGTTTCAGCGTTAGCCCAGGGAAGGGAGGTGTTTACCTTGTGTAGGAGTATTTGTTGTTACTTCGGTTATAAAGGAGCTTCACCACTGGCTGAAAAAAAGGGGGGAGAAAAAAAAGGGGGGGGGGTGTCAATGCAGGCCAACAGAATGCAGAGACTCATTGCCCTGGATCCCACAAAGCTCTGGGAACAGAGGCATTGAATGCTCCCAGGTCATTATGGGAACCTGAAATCACCATTCCTGACTCAGGTGTTTGCAAGAAGGAGAAAAAACAAGCCATGGAGGAAATCTTGCCAGGCCTTCAGATTCCCAGTACAGGTCATCCTTCATTTACAACCCTAATGGTATAGTGTAGGTATAGGGCAGTGATGGCTAACCTTTTCAGCATCGAGGGCCCAAAGCGTGTGGGCATGCACGCACCCCCAAAATGCAATGCACGCACATCCCACGCGCATGTCCCCTGCCCTCCGCACATCCCCTGGGCACGCGCTCCCCCCAGTGCATATGTAGACAAGACCCAAAGACTAGCTGGCTGGCGGGAGGCCTGCATGCATACGCGGCGGAGCTGAGCTGGGGTGACGGCTCATGTGCCCACAGAGATGTGTGCCATCCCTGGCACACGTGCCACAGGTTCGCCATCACAGGTATAGGGTCTCCTGCTTGGGCAAAGGGGGTGGGTTGGACTAGATGACTTACAAGGTCCCTTCCAACTCTGTTAATCTGTTAGATTGAGACCAGAACTTCTGTTGTTAAGCAAAGCAGTGGGGGCCTCCCTCCATGGTTAAGCAAATCACTGCAGTTGTTAAGTGAATCATTCTGTCATTAAGCAAATCAGTCCAGAAAAAGTTTAACCATTTGATAAAATCCTTTAGGAGGCCGTTTGACATAGATAAGGCTCAAAAGTCTGAACAGCTTTCCTCGCTGGGAATTATTATTTTTTTTAAAAAAAGTGCTGTGGAATAGCTCTGCGGCTTCTGCAGAGGGAGATGACAAAGGCATGTGTATCACCTTGGCTTTTTTGCCTTTCACTTGGATGCTCCTTGAGTAGCTCCAAAGAAACAACACAAAGAACAATATACTTTATCCTTGCCCAGAATCACTGAGAATGAATTGGGTGGCCATACACATTTTCATGAATGAATGAATGAATGAATGAATGATAGGCATGGCTATTCCAAGTACTCCTTTGCAATTTATTCCCTAAATTGGGGGATCTTAATTGGAACAGAAAGGGAAGAGGAACAATGGGGAACCCAATCCACTTTGGAGCCCCCCCCCCATCATTAACTCTACCCATCTCCAGCAAATCCCCCGTGTTCCCCCAAAGAGCAGACTCCAAAAATAACAAAAGTGGTTTTATCTGCCATGAGCTGAAAAGGGTAAACCACAACAGCCTTTTTTCAAATACAGGTAGTCCTCAACTTACAGTGACCGAAGTTACAACAGCACTGAAAAAAGGGACATATAACCGTTTTTCAAACTTACAACCGTTGCAGCATCTCCATGGTCACGTCATGTTACATTCGGATACTTGACTCACATTTACGATGGTTGCAGTGCTATGTGATTCCCCCTTTGGTGACCAAGTGTTGCTATTTTAAGAACTGCAGTGATTCATTTAAAAAATGTGGGGAGAAAAGTAAAAAAAAAATGGGACAAAAATTCACTTAACAAGTTTCTCACTTAGGGACATAAATTTTGGGCTCAATTGTGGCCCGTAAGATGAAGGCTATCTGTACTCATGTCACCTCTAGGTGTTCAAATAGCATGGAAAATATTGATATTTTAAAAGCTGAATGGAGCCTCCTTTTCCCTCTTCCTCATTCTTCAGATGCTGGGACAAAGTTCAAATTCCCAGCCACCAATAAGGAAGACAAAGTGGCTGAGACTTTGGATGGCTTCCCATGTGGTGCCAATCCAGGCTTGGGATGACTCTGGCTTGGAGCAGATGTGCTTACCCTCTGTTAGTTCAAGGATCACACTAAACCTGAGGCTTTGGGGTTTTTTAAAGGGTAAAATAGCAATAGCAATAGCACTTAGACTTATATACCGTGTATATATACAGGAAGAGAAGGATTTATATTCCATATTATATTTATATTCCATTCCCCACCATCCAGTCAGAGCTGAGGAAGCTTCTCGGATGAGAAGCCAAACGTCTTCAAAGGAAAACCAGAAAGTCCCGTTGCCTCTTGGACAGGGGTGGGATTCTACCAGTTCACACCTATTCTCTAGAACCGGTTGTTAACATTCTAAGCAGTTCGGAGAACCGGTTGTTAGAAGAAATTATTGGCCTAATCCTGTAAGGAAGGCAGGAAGGAAACATTCTGGTGTTGCTTACAGAAACTGCCTCTCCGTTAACCCTTATTACATTCTTGGCAGGACTAGACTTCCTGTCTCAGGAACGTCTCTGGAGTTTTTTTCCCCTCCTTTGCTGGTACTTTGCTTGTGTGGAGTGACCATTCAAAATTACAATGGCACTGAAAAAAAGTGACTTATGACCATTTTTCACACTTACAACTGTTGCAGCATGCCCACAGTCATGAGAGGCCAGGCGAGGAGATGCGTGCCTCGATGTGAGTGATATTGAGTTGGCCACGCCCAGCCAATAACATGACCACCAAGCCATGTCCACCCAGTCACATGACCACCAAGCCACGCCCAACTAAGCCACACCCACAGAACCAGTTGTTAAAAAAATTGAATCCCACCCCTACTCTTAGAAAAATAAAGCACCTTTGGCACTGCATAGGTAAGTGACAACAGTTCACTTGGTGACCGTTCAAAGTTACAATGGCCCTGAAAAAAGTGAGTTGTGCCCATGTTTCACGCTTGTGACCATTGTTGTCTCTCCATAGTCACATGATCAAAATTCAGACGCTTGGCAACTGACACAAATTTATGACGGTTGCAGGGTCCCAGGGTTACGTGATCAACCTTTGCAACTTTCTGACAAATGAGGTCACTGCGGAAACCAGACAACTGCAATGGTTCACTTAACAACTGTAACAGGAAAAGTCGCAAAGTGGGGCAAATCTCACGTAACAAGTTTCTCAATTAGCAACATACATTTTGGGCTCGATTGTGGTCGTAAACTGAGGACTACCCGTAATATGTGAATTGGCCCTTTTCGCCTGCTCATTCTCTCTTCCCCCCCCCCCCCCCCCCCCCCCCCCCCCCCCCCCCAAGTACCTTCATGGCTGATTCAATGAGCCTCTCTTCCTCTTTCGGAGAAGTGATGACAGGGATATTGCAGACTGGGTGGTAGGTCTCTTTCTTGTCCTGCAAAGAGAATTGCACACACATCCAGACAGATTAAAGCAGGGTAGACTGCCACTGCCTCTGGAATCCCATTGTTTTGAATGGCAGAAATGAAGATTTAAGTTATCCCATCTGGCTTTTGTTGTGGCCCGCCAGTGGCCAGCAGAGCTGGCAGCAGAACTCAGACAGTGAGGAGGTTGGGGAGGAACATGGGCCAGTCCTGGAGTCTGGGGGAAGGCTGTGACGAATGCTCTGTGTTGGAGGCAGAGATGGGGCCAGGGCCGTCTGACAGTTATCAGCTGCCTTCGGAGTCGGAGATCAGTGGGGCAGAAGAACAGCTGGAGCCTGTTCTCAGTGTGTGCTTGCACAGAGCTGCCAGGAGAAGGGAACAGCTAAGGAACAAGGGTCGACTCGGGAATAAAGCCATAGGTGGATGGTGAATGACCCCTCCCATAGGGAATAAAGAGTAGCGAAAGGGGAGTGGTGTTTGCAGGAGACAATTAGTTCAATTCTTTAGGGTGAAGATCTGTTCCTGACTTCTTGCCAAGTATTGTCTGCTACAGAGTGACGTTTGGAAGATATCGGATTGGCAGCTCTCCAAGCCTGATAAAGGTCTGTAATTGTGATATCACTTTAAAGACTGTTGGCTGGGACTTTGCTGGAGAGGAATTCACTTTAAACTAAATAAAAGGGGTTTTATCAGGACGAGGAGTTGGCTTCGTGCTTTTGGGAAGCCTAGGTCAGAACAATTTTTACTTTTTTGCCAGGATGTTGGGAGGGTGCTCTTGCGGGACATAATTTATGCCTTAAACCTCTTGCAGAGAATTTTGATGGTGAATTTCTCCCCTCCCTCCCGCATCACACTTTTAAAAGAAGGCGTGAAAATGAAAATGGCGGGAACAGATATCTGTGGAACCTCTTCAGCGTTTTAAGAGAGTGAGGGCTTTAAAGGTTGAAGACACAATTTTCTTTTTAAAAACAGAGTACTTGAAAGATTTGTCGTAGTCCATTGGGGAGGGGGTGTTTGAAGTCCACAAATTCAGGACTGGGGTGGTGGTGGCACAAAGGCCCCCCATGTCTAGAATAATAATCTACACAGGAGAATGTAGACTGTCCTTCCCCCAAAGAACTTTAAATATACACCGGTTGTCCCCATCAAGGGCTTTTCTCGAGTAGGATTCTTGCCTCCAGTAAAAGGGTTGAGCTGGATGATCTCCAGGTCCCTTCCTTCTCTTTAAGCTTTTACCCTTCAGCATGTACAGCTCTCTTACCTGCAAGGCAGCTTGACAGAGGTCCACCAAGCCCTGAATGAGGTAATATTTGGCTTCAGCCATCAGCTCCTTGATTTCCTGCCGGTTCTTGGGTAGAATGACCGTGTTGTCCCGAAGGTAATTTAAGATGGTTCCAAAATGCTTCCCACAGCGGTCGATCAGGATCCAACCTGGGAAAGAAACAACAGGCCTTGGGTTTCAAGCAAAGCAGGTGGGAAAATATGTAAGAAAATTATCCCCCAGAGCTTTGATGTCTACCAAGAAGACTCGCAGATGTATGAAAACTTGCCTAATCTTGGGTGGTAATTCTGAACAGGCTGCAAACAGATCTCAGAGGACGCCAGTTAAAATTTTGATTAATTAGATTTATAGGTAGTCCTTGACTGTGGCAAGAAAAGTCATCATATGGGACAAAACTCACTTAATATCTCACTTAGCAACATACATTTTGACTCGGTTGTGGTTGTAAGTGGAGGACTACCTACATCAATGCCGACTACCATAGAATTCAAAGAAAGAGTTGATAATATAGTATAATTTTAGAATGTACCAGACAGAATCCCAATATATGTTATGTGTTTTATATTAAGTATTATAAATGTAGGGGAAAGAGATAAAGGCATCATACTCCATATAGTGTGCAGGAGAAGTTTTTTCTTTTTTTTAAAGAAGGAAAATAAAGGGCTGGCTGGAATAGAACAGACAAAGAATAATAAATATTATGATATGAATTGAGAGGAGATAAATAAAATAAAATAAAATTGAGAAAATTTAAAGGAGAGGAGAAGACATATAGAAAATTGAAAATGTTAATAAGATATGAAATGGTATGTAAAATGAATATGAATTTGAATTTGTGTCTGTACCAAGAGTTTTAACCCGGGACTAAGCAACTTTCAGATAAGAGATTTTTTATGCTTTTATGTTTTGTTTTATGTGTATCTATGTATTGTTTGTCTTGAAAATAAAACTTGTTTTAAAAAAAAAAGAATTCAAAGAAAGAGGAGAACTAATACAAAACTGTATCTCCCATTCCCAACTTTTGGAACCAGTCTAACAGGTCTAGAGGTGGCTGATGAGGAAGAGGAGGAACAACTGGGTCCAGTGCCTGAAAAGCAAATGCACAGAAGGCAGAGGAGAGGAGAGCAGTGGAAATCTATGGGCCAGTCCCTGGGACGGAAGAGCTACCGCTGCTCGCGAAGCCCCACCCTAGTTCTGGGGATAAAAGGCAGGGGGTGGAGATGAATAGTTGTGACAGACAACTATTCATCTCCCTGCCGGACAGACTTGTTAGCCTGCTGTAAGAGAAACTTTCTGCCAGGGATACTGGCACTCCTAATAAAGGAATCATTGCTTCAACAACAGAGGGGTTGTCGTGTTTGGGGAGCTGGGTCAGAACATTGGCTTTGCTGGTTTTCATCAGCACCCACCTTCCTTGTCGGAGAGCACCTCCATCCTTCCGCTGAACATGGCTTTCAGCATGGTGTCGTGGCGTGTCAGCACCTGCACGGTGGTGTAATACAAGGAGCCCCCAACGTTGAGCCGCACGTACTTATTGCCAAGGGTGCCGATTTTGGCGCTGCACCTTTTCGGCTTTGCTCCCGAAGCTGGGCAGAGGCTGGTTAAGCAGGTGTCGCCGGACATCTCCTTCTGCAAATAGATGACAACACGGCAGTGGGTGGGCTTGACCGACTCCGCCGTGATTGGAGGGGAAAACCGTGGGGGTCTCCAACTGGATTCGAGAACTCCTTGGAAGTTGCGGGCCCCAGAGCCAAGAGACTCTAAAAGCAGAGCAAAAACAGAGAGAGAGGTGTTTCACTGTTGTCGGTTGAAATGATTGTGTTGGGAGGGGATCACACAACACGCTCAAAGAGGCAAAACCCATTTTTATCAGCCATCTTGTCTGGTGTCAGAATTCCGGCACTTAATCCCATTCAAATCATGAGTCTCGAGCCAAACTTCCAAACCTTCAAAAGGATTTATTGAGAGTTAACATGTGGGCACTGCCTGGGTGTAGCCAATTCTGAGACACATCGTTCATTGTCACCCTTGACCCTGATTTTCCCCTGATCCCCTATGCGTATCATAATTCATATTCTCCAATGGGACACATCCATAGCCAATGGTCATCAATCATGCTCTCCAGTTAGAATTTTGCTCGGCAGAAACTTTGGTCACCTAGCTACTATCTTTGAAAACATTTATGGAATGCACTTTCAATTTGCAAGCTGCTGCACTGCTCCCCCTTCCCTTTCTGTTGGCAACTCTAAGACCATAGAAATATTTTATGAGTTGACATCTGGGTCTGGCAACATGCTTCGCCAAAAACTATGAAACTGTGCTATAGTTTAGCATATGGTAAGCTCAGAAGCATTGCTACAAAAATAGCGCCAGGATTCCAATTATTGAAATCTGAACCTTCTCTGTAACTGAGACCTGGTGGTTCACACTGACCCATCTCCACAGGGGATCAGGAAAACAACTAGGAGCAAGGTCCAGTTCCCTTTAGAGCAGGTCAAGCCGTGTTTCCAAGAAATTATTTTTTAGGATTTTTAAGCAGCTTATACTGGCAGTCCTCGCTTAATGACCTGTTGCTTGGTGATCCCTCAAAGTTTCAACGGGCCACCCCAGTAACTTACAACTTGGTACCAGAGTTCTGATAACCACACGCACAGCCTCTCATGCGGGGGTGGGATTCTCCCGTGGTAACAACCGGTTCGCTAATCGTGTGCATGGCCGGCTCTGGAATTCTGGGAATTAAAGTCCACAGATTGTAAAGGGGACATCATTCCCCACCCAATGTATATTTTTTTTTCAATTGGAAGAACATAGAAACAATGGATTTAAATGAAGAATAGACATATATACAATCACACATAAGATCCCCCATGTCAGTCAGTTTTTAAAACAAATTACAAAAGCTACGAAGCTCTGAAAAAATAAACACCCCTCTTGTTTTCAGGAAACGTTCAACAGCGGTACTCATTCCAATTGAAGACAAAGGGGCTTTTCCCCCCACCTTTGTAAAGGCAATTCAACTTTACTTAAATTTAACGTTCTGATCTAACCAATCCAATTACAAGAGTACCTAGGATATAAAAATGATATTGAGAAATGAAGGGGGGAAAAAGAGATACCTGTTGTTTAAAGCCGTATCCGCAACCAAGGCAAGCCTTCTTAAACTATCTTCTGGATAAGAGACCAAAGTCTAGACTTCAATCACTGCATTTCAGTGGGGCAAGCAGGAAGATTTGGGGTGGGTGGAGTTTCCAGCCCTGAAGGATGACGCAATGTGTCTGACTCAGCCTCCCTCAAACAATAGGAATATTTCCTTCCTCCCAGTTGGGCTTTGGTTTTTTGTTTTTTTTTTTAAAAAACTTTTTAATTGCCTTTTATAAAAAGTAATAAACTCGAAATAACCTAGTGTCACAACAGGTTTCTGTTTCCAACAGGGCCAGCCTGAGCTTGTCTCAAGAGCCAACTGGATGGCATTCGGGAAAGATCATGGCACATCACCAAAACTGAAAAAAAAAAAAAAAAACGGCCATGAAAATGACCCGGTTTGAGTTGCAAAGAGAGAGAGAGAGAGATGTGAGTGTTGCATTTGTCACGGCTGATCCCGCTGACCTGAGGGCGCTGGAGGCTTCATCCACAACTGGAGCCCCCCTGCATTCACAGGCAGTCCTCGGCTTACAACTCGTTTAGCGTCCATTCGAAGTTACAATGGTACCATAAAAAGTGACTTTATGACTTTATCCCGCTTTTGTGTCCTGTTTTTGATACACTGAGGATGCTAGACTCCAATGACCGTCCCGCAGCTACTTTGCTAAAGTTGATAAATGCAGGTAGTCTTCGTTTTGTGACAAATGAGATTGGCAACTTCTTCATTAAGTGAAGCAGTTGCTAAGTGAAATATTGTGATTTTACTTCCAGCTTTCCTTGGCTTTTTTTTTTTTTTTTTGCAAAGACTGTCAATGCAAGGATTGGCCCCAAAGTTACTTTTTCCATCCCCATCCTAATTACAAGTGGCCGCTGTGCAAGGCAGTCACTAAATGAGAACTACCTTGTAAGACCAAATTCTAAAAAATTCTAAAAAGGTAGCAAAGGAGTTTTTTTTTCTTCTATCGCTCAGCGCACAGAAGAGCCACCTCTTCACCAGAGATCCCAAATTCAGTCTTTCTCATGGCCATTTTCAGAGTCAAATGCTCATGTTTATCCAGCGGAACCCTTTCCTTCCCATGGAAAATCCTGCTTCAAAAACCTCTACTGAGAAGAAGAAAAAAAAAGTCTAGTTTAACAATTTTGCAACTCCAAGCTTGGCTTCGAAAGGGCAGGAAGAGCAGCCAGGAAGAGAATTAATGTTTTATTACATTTTCATCCGGCAACAGATGAAGTCCTGTTGCTTTGCTGCAGGATAGCTGAGCGAGAGAAGCAGAGTCAAGGACATTCAAATAATATCTTTGGCTGAGTACCTTTGGGTAGACTTGAATCTGGCTCTCCTCCATCTAAATCCAATGCTCCAGCCCTTAAGAAATGTCCTGGCTAAGCATTCTGGACAGTTCTAGGTCGCCAATCTAGATACGCCACAGATGTAGCTGTCTTGTGGCCCACATAGCACTGATGGGAACTATGCTGCAGTTTATGCTCCTAGGTCGCTACCTCTGCTGCTCTTGCAGATCACATTGCTAAAATTTGGTCACATTTTTCAAAATTCACTTACCAATCCTACCAGTGGTGGGATTTAATTTTTTACTACCGGTTCTGTGGGCATGGCTTGGTGGGCATGGCAGGGGAAGGATACTGTAAAATCCCCACTCCTGGGGAAAGATTATGTTCTGACCAAGGCTTCCCAAGACCATCATTAAGCACACGCTTAGTTACAACTCCTGTTTTATTACCATGCTGGGAATTATGTTCATTCCCAGCCTGTAATGAGTCCCAAACAGTCCCTTCGAGATAAGCACTCACCTTTCTTTCCTTTGAATTGCTGCCAACAACTAGAGTGCCAAATGAGTTATAAAAAACCAACCGAAGTACAAAGTCCACAGAGTTTCAAGGATTAATCCAAACAGAATGAACGACTTTGCTTCCTGCAAAGGTTTCATCACCTTTGCCTGTCCTTTATACCTTATGGGAGGGGCAATCACCTCCAAGCCTTACTCCTGAGTTGCCCCTTTTGTCTCAGCTGCTCCTGAATTTTGGCAGCTCTGCGCACATGCGCACTGGGAACAGGCTCCCCTTGTTCCTCTGCCTCGCTGCTGCCAGACTCTGGAGGCTCCAGAGTCAGCACCCCACTCCCAGATGGTCCTGGCCTCATCTCTGCATCGGACGCAGGATCCTCATCCGAGTCCTCTCTAGACTCCCAGACTGGTCCCCATTCTTCCCCACTGTCCGATTCTGCTGCTGTCTGCACAGGCTGCCGGCAAACCACAATAGGTTACTACAAAATCCCCATTCCCTCCCCACCCCACTAACCTACTTTCCAGCTCCGTTCTCCTATGCATGGCAACAAAAGAAGAGCCAGCCAATCAGCTGGGACTCGGGAGGCAGAGAAGAGATGGGGGTGGGGCCAGTCAGAGGTGGGACTTGCCGGTTCTCCAAACTACTCAAAATTTCTGCTACCGGTTCTCCAGAACTGGTCAGAACCTGCTGAATACCACCTCTGAATCCTACCTATTTCAGATAACCATTTGTCTGAAATGATATAGGGTTGCCTGCCTAAGCAGGGGGTTGCAGTGGTGGGCTGCAACCAGTTTAACAACCGGTTCTGTGAGCACGTGCAGCATTCAAAAGACTCAAATTTGAACCTATACATCTTACATTCTAGCCTTCCCCGGTAATCCACTGTCCAGCATTAATCAGCTGATCTGAAAAAGACAGAAATATAGGACAGGATAGGACAGGGGCAGGTGGGCAGGGCTAGTTGATTGCCGGAACTACCAGTTTGCTAGAACCAGTAGCAGCCCACCACTGGGAGGTTGGACTAGAAGACCTCCAAGGTCCCTTCCAACTCTGTTATTCTATTTCTATTGTCCATTTTGAAACTAATACACTTGTGTGATGACCCAGGGTGGGATACAAAATAAACACAGTCACAAAAACCGGGTGAAGCCCCTTTTATTCCTTCACTTTGCTTCCAAGCTCCAAATATCCTTGACTGGAGACAAAAAACTCCCACACAAGCAGTTACAAGGAGGAGGAAATGCCATTTAAATTATAAAGAGTCAAAAACAACACAAACCAGGCAAGATAAGGGCTTGAAGACATCCAGTGATATCAGAACACACACTGGGAAGGACACCAAACTCAGAGAGGAACAATAAACTAGAGATATTTCCATGCTTTGTTTCCAGCACTGGCTGGTACGCATGTCCGTCCTCTTATCCAGTTGTCACAGCTGCAGCCCATGAAGAGGATCAAGGCCCTCTCCTCCCCAGTAGACCATGTCTCTCCCTTATCCTCTCCTCCCTGCATGCCCTAGGATGGAGAGGGGATGGGGCTGGTTCTTCCTCTGACTGCCCAGCCGGCCTCTTCCCTTCCCCAGCCTCCTCCACAACCTCCGGAGCCGCACTTCCACTCCCTGTTGACTGTTTCTCCTCTCCCTCAGAGTCAGTCTCCACCAGGAGCATGACAACTTGGTTCTCCATTTCTGCAAAAAAAAGCTACCAATGTGCACCTTAGCAAGCTGCCCTTCTGATATATTTGTATGGTAATTCCTATCACCAGCAATGGCTCAGCATGATGGGCCATGTAATCCAGGCACACCTGGAAGCCATCAAGTCAACCCTTTTCTTAGTGACATTTTGATTCTGTGTACACAAACACATACCAAAATATCTCATGAATTTGACTTCAGATTCATGGGATATTCTAACAAGCTTAACTTTTCCAGTCCTATTTTAAACTGGCAGTTTTTACAGGCAGTCTTCATTTAGCGACTGCCTCATTTAGCAACTGTAGTTACAGCATTAAAGAAAAACTAACTTTGTAATCGATCCTCGCGTTTACAACCTTCACAAGTCTGTAAAGCCAAAGAAAGCAGAAGTGAGGCCATCAAATCATGTTTTCACTTAGCAACTGCTTCACTCAATGACCAAGTTGATCAACTCAATTCAAGTTCTTAAATGAATATAGCAATTTTAGTTTTACCATTCACATTGCTGTCCAAACATTTCCAATTAGTTGTTCAGCATCAAGGTAATTTGTCCTGGTGACACCAATAACTACTGAAAACTACAGGTAGTCCTCGACTTACGACCACAATTGAGCCCAAAATGACTGTTGTTAAAGCTAAGACATTTGTTAAATGAGTTTTGTCCCATTTTACGACTTTTCTTGTCATAGTTAAGTGAATCATTGCAGTTGATAAGTTAGTAACACGGTTGCTACCTGAATCGAGCTTCCCCGTTGATTTTGCTTGTCAAAAGGTTCCAAAAAGTAATCACATGACCTTGAGACACAGAAATGGGTTGGAAGTATGAATCAATTGTCAAACATCTGAATTTTGATCACATGATCGTGGGGCTGCTACAAAAGTCGTAAGTGTTGTGGGAAGCTCCCCTCCAGTGGTGGGATTCAAAAATGTTTACCATCGGTTCGGTGGGCATGGCTTAGTGGGCGGGCTTTGTGCGCATGCACACTTTGCGTGCATGCACAGGCCAAACATTCACTTTGCACAGGCGCAGAGGCATTCCAACTCACCTCCTGCAAGCCTGCACTCTCCTGGTCGCTTCAGCAGCTGCTGCATGGACTCTGCTGTGCTACACAAAGCAGCTGTGCTTCAAAAGCAGAGGATAAAGGTGAGTATAGGAGCCCAGGTGGGCAGGTGGGCCCAACAGCAGAGTAGCAGAGAGAACCGGTTCATTTTCCGCTGCTCATTGCTGCTACTGGCTTGGCAGAACCAGTAGAATACCACCACTACTCCCCTCCCCGAGTAATAAAATATTTGGGGGGAATATTAAAAAGGCAGGATAGAATATTTCCCCTAAAGGAGAAATGGGAAAAAAAAACCCTTAAGGGAGACAGAAACCAGCAGAGTTTCCCTGCTCTAGTAGAAATTGAGGAGGCCAACTTATAGAAATGCAGATTTGGTCAGTCATTCAGAAAGACTGGGTCAGAGACTCCAGATAAGCAACACAATCAAGCCAAAGGTTGACAAAATTAGCTCAAACACCTAGGATTTGCATTTTCCCTTTTGCCTATAGAGCCAGCCATGACCCCTACATGACCCCACAGGGACCCAGAAGGTATAAAAATCCATCCACTCTAAACTCCATTTTATCAGCTGTCCCAGAATCCCATGTGGTTGGTGGTTCTGCTTCATCAATAAAGGGAACATTTCTTTCCATCAGCCTCCATTTTATTTCCAGTGCCTTTCTCCCAGCTTGGACCTGGACCTGGATATTTCTTCCAACAGTGTGAAAAATGGTCATAAGTCACTTTTTTCAGTGCTGTTGTAACTTTGGTCATTAAATAAACTGCTGTGAGTTGAGGACTCCCTGTAGAAGAATATATAGTACATGCAGGGACTCAGTTCAAGGGTGGGATCCAAATGGCCACTTATTTTTGTACAGCTCCTGCTGAAGGCTCATTTTGTTCTTTCTACTTAGATCTGATTTTCTGTTCTCACTTTTTCTTTTAGGGTTTGGACTACACGTACTCCTTGGCCAGTTGCTCTGACAGATCTGACAACCTGGATTCAAAGTTCAGACAGTCATCCTCTCCCCTGAAGTCATGTGACAACCACTGAAGAAAAAGGTCATAAAATCAGGTCAGTTGTGTGGGTGACCCGACTTACAACTGTAATGGGCCGTTTCCATTACAGTCATAATTTGAGGACTATCTGTATTTACACTGCTATCTCACTTTCTGTCCACGTGGCTCCCTTTTATAATCCCCAAAGAGTTCCCTCAACCCCGCCAGATACATCTGGCTGAGTTAACCCCTCACTTCCATGGTTGCATTTGGACTTCAACCTAAGTCGATCCAATGCTTTAACCACCACACCATCCATGAGCCACAGTGGTGCAGTGGTTAGAGTGTAGTACTGCAGGCCTAGGTTCTGCTGCCTGCCGGCTGCCTGCAATTTGGCAGTTCAAATCCCACCAGGCTCAAGGTTGACTCAGCCTTTCATCCTTCCGAGGTGGGTAAAATGAGGACCCTGATTGTTGGGGGCAATATGCTGACTCTGTAAACTGCTTAGAGAGGGCTGTAAAGCACTGTAAAGCGGTATATAAGTCTAAGTGCTTTTGCTGTCCTAGCTGTATTTACAGAACAAGGGTACCCGACTGTAAACTTTTCAAGCGAAGGAGCATACTTGCTTCTGAATGCACGTTGGGTGTATCAAAGGTAGCATAGTTATGACCAGGAGTGGGGGAGAATCTCTGTATTTCATTTAATCTCATTTTAAGACTTAAGGCATCCAATGTAACAGGTATTCAGAAATTTCTCTCTTCAACCTTATTCAAAATGACCAAGTAGCCCTACCATGATGGGTTTGAACTCTGGGCTACCCTTCAACAGGTGTAGCGTTTCCCCACCTCCAGCCTGTTTCAAACGACGCTAAAAGAGGTTGGGAGGGGACTATAAATTATACAAATACTGTAAATAAAAAGGAAAGGAAACTCTTTCACCCAGCCTACCTTTACTCCCGCCTACCTCGCTTTATCTCAAACCTCTCGTCCCCAAAATACAGAATCAACTTCACTTCCCCTTGTCTCTGCCCCAAACGCGGGCCCTCCCACCCCTGATTCGCCCTGCCAACCGCTGGTTCTTTTCTTTACCTGCTTCCGAGCCGCTCCGCGCTGCTCCCACACTAGGCCACCAATGGCTCCGCGGGAGCCCCGAGCGACGGCCAGGCAAAGGAGCGGAACTGAGCTCAACCAGCTCCGAGCGACTCGCCGAACCTTCAGCTTCTCAATCCCGGCCGAAGAGAGAGGCTCCAAGTTGGGGCTGCAGCAACAGGCTTCCTCATCGCGAGAACTCAGCCTACAACTCCCGACAGGCCCCGCGCGCCTGCGTCCATTCCCGATATACGCAGTCGAAGGCCATCGGGACTACATCTCCCGACAAGCCACGGCTGTATCTTTCGCCCATCCAGGCAGGCACGGGTGCCGAAGCCGGAGCTATCGAGCGCTTTCTGGCAGGAAATCATGGAGAGGGCGTTTTACTCAGTAAAAGAAATCGGTAAAATCCATATCGGTTGAATTTCGACTCCTGTCATTACCAATCAGCACATCTGGGGAATATATGGCAATACTTTTCTTAAGCTGATCGAGATAGTAATGTGTAAAATTTCAACTTTTTCTAATCTGGAAAAAAAAACTTTTTGACATACGCGTGACCCTGTTTATCTACTCGAAAGTGAGTTACCTTGGATTGATTGTGGCTTGTTCCTGGTTTAAGAAAATATCTGTTAGGGCTCCCCAGACTTATATTCTTGACTTGTTGTCCAAAACTCTACTTGACAGGTTTAAACGACTGATTGGATTAAACCCTTTTTGGATTAACTCAACACGGTCAAGGAAACAAAATTGGGTTTGCACAACATGCTAAGCTACAAAATCTACAAACCAGATTTATTATGTTGTGCAATTACAGCTGCTAGGTTTTCAATTGACCGGGTTATTTGTGTTGTATGAATTCAGCTGTAACATGCATGTTATTGTGATGAGACTTGAGAAAAGGGCTCCATCGATGGGACTGACATCCATGCTTACAGGGGCACCTGTAGATGTTAAGAGCCCCCGTTTCTTGGCTTTACATTAGTTGGCTCGCCATTTTGGCTGCTGTGTGTGTTTATTTTTTCTATGTTTCTACTGTTTTACATTGTTTTAACTGTTTTCTAGTCTGAAGAACTACAAACTCCCGGCTGCTACAAGGAAGAGGGGAGCAATTTATTTACCAAGGCACCAGAGGGCAGGACACGAAACAACGGATAGAAACTACCAGGCAATCAAGGAGAGGAGCAACCTGGAACTAAGGAGGACATTCCTAACAGAAAAAGTAATCAGCGGAACAACTTGCTTCCAGAAGTTGTGAATGCTCCAACATTGCAAGTTTTAAAGAAGAGATTGGACAATCCTTTGTCTGAAATGGTATAGGGTTGCCTGCTTGACTAGATGACCTCCAAGGTCCCTTCCAACTCCGTTACTGTTACTATAACTGCTAGCCACCCAGAGATGCTGAGATGGGAGGCTGTAGAAATTGAATAAGTGAACAAACAAACGAGTTCTGCGTGGGATCTTTGCGGTCATAGATCGAAAGCGCTTCTCCAGGATCATCTATCTCGTACCTGCCCCGCTTCCTTGCGACCACCTTCCCCCCGCTTCCTCCGCTTTGGATTCTTCCCACCGAACTACGATTCCCAGAATGCCAAGCGAAGCCGGCGCTCTCCTTTCCCCCTACGAGCGCATAGGATAAGCCGTGTGGGCCGGGCCACAGGCGGCGGCGGCGGCGGCGGCAGCGGCTGTTGTTTCTTCTGTCGCCGTGGCAGCTGAGGGCTGCGTCGAGCTTTGGGCATCGGGGAAGCTTTTAGGAACCCTGTAGGTAAGTAGGGAGGGGTTCAAGGGGAGGCAGGGTGGGAAAGAAGAAGAGGAGGAGACTGCTCGCTTGCATGTCCTAGAATAGATGGAGCCTCCAGATTCAGGAGCAGCCATTTAATGTCAGCTGCAAGGGAGCGATGGTAGAGAATGACGTCGGGTGGCTCCTCGAAACAAAGAATTGTATTGCAACAGCATTGGACAGGGTGTAATTGGCTAGGAATTCTGGGAGTCAAAGGCTCCCACATCTGGAGGACACCAGGTTTTTTGGGGGGGGAGGCTGTAAGCACTGGTGTTTCCTGAATGAGAGCCCAATTTTCCCCCCATCTCTATGTTGGGATGAAGGGAGCCCCATTTTTAAGAGTTCTCTATATTGTCTCCTCCAGTTTATGAAAAATTGTGGGTATGAATAGTGAAACACTGTGGACTATTCCCAAGGGAATAGCAATCCCCCTTCATCACGATAATTAAAGATTTTAAAACTTACCAGTTTGGGGTATCCCCTTGCCCCAGTCCTCCCAACAAAAGGAAAAAAAAACCTGTTTCACAATATATTCCTTACTGGTCCAGCTTGTGGTTTTCTCAGCAGTGAATATCTGTTGGACCTGCCGCAACTTAAAAGCATAAGGTGATAGCTGATAACATCAGTCTGTTCATTGCCGAGTAAATGTGCCTTTAGGATCACAACCCTCACAAATCAAACTGCAGTACTGAGCACATTGACTTTGGAATAAGCTTTGTGGCCAGACATAATGAGGAAACCCAGAAAAATTGCATTTGCAAAATTGCATAATCATCTACATTAGTAAATATTATGAACACTAATTTTGAAAATAGGATTAAAACGGAATTGGAGGTATTGCTTGTTTCTTTATTCCCAGGAAAGTTTTCTTATTTAGCTTTACAAGATATGGAAAAACTCCTAAACCAGAGGTCTCCAAACTTGGCAAATTTAAGACTTGTGGACTTCAACTCCAGAATTCTGGGAGTTGAAGTCCACAAGTCTTAAAGTTGCCAAGTTTGGGGACCCCTGTCCTAAAATTTCTTCATATCTTAATTTTCAGAGGCCTGTTCTTTCCTCCTCTCTTGATGTTTCTCCAACCTGATTCTTTTCTCCAGCTCCTTGAAAAGAGCTTATAATGGCAAAAGACATCCTAGGAGAGGCAGGTCTCCACTTTGACGAGCTGAACAAACTGAGGGTTTTGGATCCAGAGGTGGCCCAACAAACCACAGAGCTGAAAGAGGAATGCAGACTGTTTGTAGACAGTAAGTCGTCTTGGCTTCCCCTCCATAGCAGAGTCAGGATAATGTTGGAGGCCGGGTTCATTCACACTGATGTGGTTAGCAAGGGATGGTTGTGGAATGACTTGTAGCTTAGCCCATCTGGAAGATGCCATAACTGGCTACAATGTTTAGCTTTCTTTCTGGCTGATCCAGCTAAATAGCTCATTTAGACCAGGACAAAGACGAAGACTTCTGGGACCTGAGATTATCATGGCCTGTTGGATTTGGAACTGTGGCCAAATATGGTCCCATCAACTTCTACCAGGCCCTTTCTGTCTTTCAGCTCTCACTTCTGCAGATCCTAGCAACCTGCCCATCAGAGATCTCTCTCTCTATGCGGGAAATGGATTGGGGGGGGGGGTTTCTACGGGCAGGGATAGGGGTTCAAGTTGTTGTGGCTGGTGGGCCCTGCAAAAGGAGAGTTATCTTAATCTTGATCTCCAAAAGCAAGTTAAAAGGTTTCCTCTTGGGGAGAACAGCTGCTTGTGACATCTGTCTGTTTGTGCTTGGCTATGTAGGCCTGTATGCTGGAGAATATACGCTGCTCAAAACAATAAAGGGAACACTTAAACAACACAATGTAACTCCAAGTCAATCACACTTCTGTGAAATCAAACTGTCCACTTAAGTAGCAACACTGATTGACAATCAATTTCACATGCTGTTGTGCAAATGGAATAGACAACAGGTGGAAAGCATAGGCAGTTAGCAAGACATCCCCAATAAAGGAGTGGTTCTGCAGGTGGTGACCACAGACCACTTCTCAGTTCTTATGCTTTCTGGCTGATGGTTTGGTCACTTTTGAATGCTGGCGGTGCTTTCACTCTAGTGGTAGCATGAGACGGAGTCTACAACCCACACAAGTGGCTCAGGTAGTGCAGCTCATCCAGGATGGCACATCAATGCGAGCTGTGGCAAGAAGGTTTGCTGTGTCTGTCAGCGTAGTGTCCAGAGCATGGAGGCGCTACCAGGAGACAGGCCAGTACATCAGGAGACGTGGAGGAGGCCGTAGGAGGGCAACAACCCAGCATCAGGACCTCTACCTCCGCCTTTGTGCAAGGAGGGACAGGAGGAGCACTGCCAGAGCCCTGCAAAATGACCTCCAGCGGGCCACAAATGTGCATGTGGCTGCTCAAACGGTCAGAAACAGACTCCATGAGGGTGGTATGAGGGCCTGATGTCCACAGGTGGGGGTTGTGCTTACAGCCCAACACCGTGCAGGACGTTTGGCATTTGCCAGAGAATGCCGAGATTGGCAAATTCGCCACTGGCGCCCTGTGCTCTTCACAGATGAAAGCAGGTTCACACTGAGCACATGTGACAGACGTGACAGGGTCTGGAGACGCTGTGGAGAACGTTCTGCTGCCTGCAACATCCTCCAGCATGACCGGTTTGGCAGTGGGTCAGTAATGGTGTGGGGTGGCATTTATTTAGGGGGGCGCACAGCTCTCTGTGCTCGCCAGAGGTAGCCTGACTGCCATTAGGTACCGAGATGAGATCCTCAGACCCCTTGTGAGACCATATGCAGGTGCGGTTGGCCCTGGGTTCCTCCTAATGCACGACAATGCTAGACCTCATGTGGCTGGAGTGTGTCAGCAGTTCCTGCAAGACGAAGGCATTGATGCTATGGACTGGCCCGCCCGTTCCCCAGACCTGAATCCAATTGGGCACATCTGGGACATCATGTCTCGCTCCATCCACCAACGCCATGTTGCACCACAGACTGTCTAGGAGTTGGGGGATGCTTTAGTCCAGTTGTGGGAGGAGATCCCTCAGGAGACCATCCGCCACCTCATCAGGAGCATGCCCAGGCGTTGTAGGGAGGTCATACAGGCACATGGAGGCCACACACACTAATGAGCCTCATTTTGACGTGTTTTAAGGACATTACATCAAAGTTGGATCAGCCTCTAGTGTTTTTTTCTACTTTAATTTTGAGTGTAACTCCAAATCCAGACCTCCATGGGTTGCTAAATTTGATTTCCATTGATAATTTTTGTGTGATTTTGTTGCCAGCACATTCAACTATGTAATGAATGAAGTATTTAATAAGAATATTTCATTCATTCAGATCTAGGATGTCTTATTTTTGTGTTCCCTTTATTTTTTTGAGCAGTGTATTTGTGTCTGCGAGCATTGGTGGAGATTTACATGTTTCTAAAAGTTCTTGTTTGATTGGATGAGCAAATTTTCAGAGGCGCTTTTCTCCAATGGTTCTAAATCAGTGACTATGACTTAGCACTTTAAAAAACTATAATAGAAATTGCCATATTAACTCTGTGTTCCTTTGACTGATGATGTTGGATGTTGACCTTTTCTTTTACTGCTTTCTTCCTTTTTACAGAAATTGCCGAGTTTAAAAAAATAGTGGGCAACCTCATTGAACTTGTAGATCAGCTAGCAAAAGCCACAGAAAATGAGAAGATTAAGGTAAAGGAGCATAATAAAGGAATATTTCCCACCTCTAATTTGAAGGTCAAACTCCCTCATTCTCCCCGCCCCCTGCAAAACAAAAAGTATTTGCATTTTTGAGTAGAAAGGTATTAATGTTTTGGGTCAAAGCATTTCTGATCTATGGGTAGTCATTCTCTTTAAATATCTCAGCACTCAACCTTGGCTAACTTTTAAAAATACTATGGAGGAAAACAATTAAAAATGAGAACCTGCCAAATTGTAAATCACGGGACCAGCTTAGGGCCTGTCTCTTTGATGCTTGTAGAATAATGGTAGGCAGTGGTGGCAGCAGGATTCTATGGGAGGAGGTACTACTAGCCAGGCTGGAGAAGGCATGAGCATGCTTTGAAACCTCTAGGGATAGTTTTTGAGGACTTCTGAACCATTACTTTTCTTTCTTTTTAATATAAGCACTGATGGCAAGATAGTGCTTCCACATGTGGTATAAGAGTTGTAGTTTGACCTAGGATGAGAAGGCCCTGATTTCGGTCCCTCCCTCCAGCTCCAAAATCTCTCTTTGAGTCATTGACTCTCTCTTTGGCCAGGCTACCTCACAGGGATGCTAGTGTGAGGGAGAAAATTGAAGGAGAGTGTGCTTGGAGAAAAAAAAGCCTTGATTTACAACTATTTGGTTAGGGATTGTTCGCATTTATAATAGCACTGAAAAAAGTAACTTCCAAACAGTTTTCGCACTTGCAACTGGTCCACAGCATCCCCATTGGTCATAGGATCAAAATTTAGGCACACGTATTTACAATGGTTGCAAGGTGATTGTTAAGTAAATTTTGATTAATTTTATGCCACAGCATGCTGGGGTCATGTAATTGCCATTCACAACTTCCCAGCTCGCTTCTGACAAGCAGTGTCAATGGGGAAAGCTGGATTTGTTTAATGACTGTGGGGTTCACCATTTGCTTAACAACAGCATGATTCACTTAACTGTAGTGATATTGTTTAACAACTGTGGCAGTAAGTAGGGAAGGTATGACAGATGGTATGGGGATGTTATAATGGAGATCGCCTAACTTCATATTCTCTCATGATGGCTTGTGCTGTATTGCAGCTAATTTGTCTTTAAATTAGTGTTTCCCAATCTTGAGAACTTTTAAGATGTGTGGACTTCAATTCCCAGAATTCCCCAGACAGCAGCATGCAGAATTCTTAGGAGTTGAGGTCCACATGTCTTAAAGTTCCCAAGGCTGGATAATCCTGGTGTAGCCTTTCTGCTTCAGATTTAGAACTGGAGTTTAAAATAGGTCTTTTAGGTTTTTTATTTACCCTTTTGCCTTATAAGCTGCCTTGATGTCATGCCTGGATAGAAACAGAAAACATAAAATATATGTTAAATAATTATATTAACACTCCTTTAATGAATTCTATGCTTTTAAACTGCTGTATCAGTTTTTTTTTTTAAAAAAAATATGTTTGATCTGTTTCTGTTTGTGTAGCCCTCCTTTAGAAGAGCAACATTCTAAAAATAAAAACAGATACTATTTTTTTAAAAAAAGGTGCCAGTTGTTTTCTTTAAAAAATGGTAATTATGATTAAGGGCTGGAATTTTTACAGCTGAATTATGTGGGTTTTTTAAATAAGAATAACCCATATTAAAAAAGATATATTCCAAAGTACATTTATGTTTTTAAATTACAACATTTATCAAGAAGCCATCCCCCTGAACTAAATAGGATTACTTCTCAAGAATAGCTCTGGGAGATTAATTGATCAACAAGGTGTCCATCATTTTTTAAAAGGTTTTCACTTTCTTTTTAACGTAATCCATTATAAAACTTAAAGAGGGCAAGGAGTATTCTGTGTCCTTTGCCATTGTGTACAGATAATCATCTCTTACTGGTTGCCTTGTTTAGTTACAATGGTGCTAAAAAGATACAACTATCACTTGCATTTTACAAGTAGCATCTCTTAATCACATAATCACCCTTACAATTAATCCACTGTCCTGTACCTAACCTATTGTTTTTCCTTCCCCCCACTATCTTGTAGAGCAGTGGCCCCCAACCTTTTTTGTGCCATGGCCCGGTACCGGCATCACAAAATGATCTGCGGCCCGGTACCGGCATCAGCATGCATGACAAGGCAAGGCGAGCCGAGCGACCGGCCAGCCAGCCATCCCCTGCTTCTCCCCGCCACCTTCAACTCCTCCTTTGTACCTTTTTTGTGCTTTTTTGTGCTTTCTTAATCTCCTCCGCCATCGGGACGGCTCTTCGTTCGAAGCCGCCGCCCCCCCCCCGATGAAATTAAGGTGCGAGAATTCCTTCAGGATCTAAACGCCGCTTTCCAACCGGAAAAGCTCACCCGGAAGCACTTTCTTGTTGAACAAGATGGCAGCGCCCAGCAAACCGGCAGCCCGGTAGAAAATGATCCACGAACCGGTACCGGTCCGGGGCCCGGTGGTTGGGGACCCCTGTTGTAGAGTACAGAGATTGGAGAGAAGGGGATTAAAAAGAGTAAGCAAGTACATAATGGGGAATATTCTGGGCTGTTTGCATAGCATGCTCAGTTTCTGGCACTACCACATTGCTTTTGATGTGTATTCCCCATTGCGTGCCTAATTACTCTCTTGTAATCCCTTCCTCTCCAATGAATTAAATACAAACATTCATTCCCTTCTTGCTAATTACCCCAATGCTAGAGGACCGTTCCAAATTTACGGGAAAGTGAGAAAAAGGAAAACACAGTTGCAGTCACATGATTTTCCATTTAGTGGCCATTTCTATGGAGTTGCCAGTCCTAATTGTATCACTAAACAAGGACTATCTGTAGTTGCAAATTGTTAGTTAAAGGTGGTATTCACTTGGGCAACGCCATAGCGGGGGTCGCCGCCCCCCCAGGAAAAGAAAGCGACCAGAAACTACTTTCCCTGGGGGGAAAAGAGCAGAGATTGGAAGGCACAGGCAACAGAAAGCGGTGCTTTTCAAAGGCGGCAGCGTCCATCTTCTCTTGCCTGTGCCTTCCTCGACCTCAGCTCTTTCGCCCTAGCAACAGCTGTTTCTGCTCGCTTTTCCTGTGCTTTCCCCAGGCAGCGATGGCTTGGGCCGTGGGTGGCGGGTGGCAGCAAAGCAGAGCCCTGAGAGGGACGAGGAAACTGATGCCGCTCCTGCCGCCCCATTCTGGACCTCTAACTGGATGGTGAGCGCAGACTTGACCCTTCCGCCCCCTCCCACCACTAGCAGACAGTACTTTTCCTGCCCCGGGCTGTCCCTACAGCCCACGGCCATCGAGGAAGAGCCCAGGCCAGGAGAGGCAAACCGGAAGGTGCAGGAGTGTCGCGGAAATGCAAGCAGCGCGGCGCTCCTGAACCTTCTGGCTAATTCCATTGCTGCTTCTATCCGCTGTGCCGCCAGCTCCCTCTTGCTGCAACAGCGCCATTACCTCGTCCTTCCCAGTGAGGGCTGTGCTGTTTTTTGCAGGTTTGCGCTTGGCCGAAGGGTGGGAGCCAGCGAGTGGGAGGGCTTTGGGGAGGGCTTTGCGGGGCATTTCTCTGCGGCCCACCAAAATTTTGTCACGGCCCACCGGTTGACGACCACTGCACCATAGCAGTGTCATTGCCTACCAATGATTGGTAGACATTATTTGAGCATCGGGAGGCAGATGAGGCTCAATAAGGATAAACACAGATAGCACACTGCCTCCTGGTGGTCACATAGTGTTTAACTACTATTCAAATATATGCTAAAATAGTGTCCACCACCCGGAAGGGAGTCATGAAACCTCTGACATGAAGTTTTCCTTATTATTTCCCATACTGGCTGAGGAATTCTGGGAATTGAAGTCCACACATCTTAAAGTTGCTAAGATGGGGGGAGGGGGGGACTGGCCTAGAGAGGTTCTGTCATTTTGTCATGTGGGCACAGCACAATATTAACTCTTTCTGCTCAGCTCATTTAAAGGAGGTCTATAACCAGGGGTCTCCAATCTTGGCATCTTTATGACGTGGACTTCAATTCCCAGTATTCCTCAGCCAGCACAACACAACCTTTTCTGGCCCTAGAACAGTGGTGGCTAACCATTTTGGGCTCTTGTGCCAAAAATTGTGCGCACGCTTACGTCTGCGCGCTCGCGTGCCAGCACCCAGAAGACTATGCGTGTGGCCCACCACCCTCTGTGCATGCACACACAATCCCTCCCCCCCCTTACCTGCATTGCGCCTCCCAGATGATTTTTGGGCTGTTTGAGGTCTTTTTCAGCCTCCCAGAGGCTTGAGGGAAGCCTCTGCAGCCTTTGCAGGGTGAAAAATGGGCCTGTTTAGTCACTTCTGGTATTTCCGGACACACAGGAAGTGATGAAACGGGCCTATTTTTCGGCCTGCAAAAGCTACAGAGGCTTCCCTCAAGCCTCTGGGAGGCCGAAAAAGGCCTCAAACAGCCCGAAAATCATCTGGGAGGCACGTGCATGCGCAGTAAGGTAAGTTTGCCTGGGGCTCACATGTCTGCAAAAATGGCTCTGCGTGCCACAGGTTCGCCATCACAGCCCTAGAGTCTATATACTGCCATCGCCAGTTTACCTTATGAAACAAAGTGAGCCCAAAAGCACTACACTAATACGACAGGTATTAAGGTATTACGACTTAAGAACTGACCAGCAGTGAATAGCTGCCAGATGTAGGCTGATGTGATTCAGCATAGTAAGAGTATTTCCCTTTAAGACTGGAGAGTAAAGATTCCCTTAAGAGGTGTGTGTATAAAAGGCAGCCATTAGAGGGCATGTTTCTCTTTCCTTGTGACCAGCATTCAGTGTAGAAGTGCTCCATGTATTAAGAAAAAAATAGAATAGAATAGAACAGAACAGAACAGAACAGAACAGAATTCTTTATTGGCCAGAAAGCTTGCTTGTAAAGATATTTTGCCTACCATGTGTATTGTCTGTATATAATTGTAATATATAAACCACTGTTAATGTCTACGTCTCTATGTGCTATGTATTGCTCCTGGGTTATCTCATAATAGTCACGCTGCAAACACTCTGACAGTCAAGGTGTAATTAATGAAAAGGATTAAGATGGGCTACATTTTCTAGCCCAGAAAAAAATGAACAGACTATGAAACTAGAAACTGAAGGCGAATTTAGCAATACGTTCAGGACAAAATGCTTAACCGAAATTAACACAATGAAGTGCGTACACACCACCCGTCATCCCTGTCACACCCAATAAGCAATCCATAAACAAACCACCACCTTTTCAAGCAGGGCAAGTCGTAACATGGTAAGCATCCTGGAAAGGGCGCTTAGAACAAAAAGTAGCTTTCACAAAAGCACTCGACTTACAGTCGAATGACATTAAACAATAATCTTTCTGAGCACCTGCTGGCTGAGGAATTCTGGGAGTTGAAGTCCACAAGTCGTAAAGTTGCCACGGTTGGAGACCCCTACTCTATACTATACCTAGATGCTTAGCAATGGAGGATCAACGGGTTTCTTTAGAGGTGGAGCAACCCTAACCATTTTAGCTTCATTTAGAAGGCCGGCAAGAAAACAAAAATACTTTAAAAATAAATAAAGACTTCTCCTTTGTAGGCAATCGGGGCCCGTAACTTACTGAAGTCCATAGCAAAGCAAAGAGAGGCCCAACAGCAACAACTCCAGGCATTAATCGCCGAGAAGAAGACGCAGTTGGAAAGGTTAGTAATGGACAAAGGAATTCCCAAATAGGTCCTAAGTGCATCCTAGGTTTCCTGGTTACAAGAACTAGAGCCCCAGTAGGTCTCCTGTCCTTAAAGCATCTCATCTTTAAATCAGGGAGAGAGATTATTTTCTTCCTGTCCCCAGACCCACACAAACACTTCGTGATGTGAAATCGTGCAAGTTTTTGGCAGTCTTGCTCCCTCCATTTGGTGCTTTTCACATGAGATTTGTTATCCTATATTAACGTTTCTCAACCTTGTCTGAGGAATTCTGGGACTCTTCTTAAAGTCGCTGAGGTTGAGAAGCCCTGTCCTAGATTCTCCTCTACTTAAAAAAAAAATGGGGGGGGGGGGGTTTTAGGGGGGTGGAGCAAGTCACAGAAGATATTTCTGCAAAGGATGGATGTGAGGTTTCCGCCTCTGCTGAGTGGAGTTTGCTTACGAGTCATCCCAAGGAGGATAGCACTAGCGACAGCCCTTGTATACCGCTTCACAGTGCTTTACAGCCTTCTCTAAGCAGTTTACAGAATCAGCCTATTGCCCCCAACGATCTGGGTCCTCATTTTACCCACTTCGGAAAAATGGAAGGCTGAGTCAACCTTGAGCCTGGGGAAATTTGAACTGTAATTAGCTTTGATGGGAAAGATTAATTAAAAAAAAGCACGAGGCTGTTTTAAAACCTTCCCTCAGGCTGACTTTCTCCAATTCAACCACAGCATTGGGAATTTTGCCTGATGCTGTCCCAACCTGTCAGGGCCCCACATTAAAGAAAGTGGCTTGCTTAATCACATTATCCTGATAGCATCGGTTCCCCTCTTTTGCATGCATTGCGTAAACGGGGGAGGGTTTGTTTCCATGGGTTCGTTGCCGCCTTGACTCTTTTGATCCTCTCCCTGTGCACATTTTGCTTGCTAGGTAGCACAGAGCCAGGGGCGCATGCATTTTGGAAGGAGCAGGTTATTTAGCACTTGAGCAGGAAAACACCGCCCCCTCCAAGACTAAGTGTTATGCTCCCCTGGGCTCTCTGAACTTGGTTGTTTGCTTGCAGACATTTCATGACCCAACATCATCAGTGTGAATGACTGTGGGGTTTGCTACCTGTTCGGCCATCAATAGACACATAGAGATAAACCACATTTACGCACCAGTCAAAAGAAACAAACTAAGAAGGAAACGAAAAGACCAGACCACATCCGCTCCAGCAGCTAACATCCAGATAAGTAGGGATTAACACCAGGCAAATAAGCAGAAAACAATACCGTAATCTAAAAAGTGACAAGGAGAAAATCACACCCTCACCTTTCCTGGCAGGAAAAGCTACTATATATAAACAGAGCGCATCAATAATCCCATAGTTCAACCCTGAGCTACATATATTCTTTTCTATTGGTGTCACGGTTATCTTTGGAGGTTTTCTAAAGCACTTAAACATAAATGTACACCAAATGCCACTGCCTCCTTTTTCTAAAGGGCCAATTAATTTCACTTTCCTCCCTCCCTCCCTCATCTGCCCAGAGCCAGCCTGATTGGCCATCCCCGGCATCCATCAGGGAAGGGTCTTCTCTATGTTCTTGGTTGTCATAAAACATCTGCCAAAAAAATTCAAACGAATGCTGGAACGGTTTTCTTTTTTACTCGGTAAAGTATTCTGGTCCTTCTTGATTAACTCAAGAATGTAAACACATGGAACGCATCAGCTCTTGTTTCTGTCGTTTCTTTTTCCCAGCTGAAAAATCTCCCCCAATTGTTCATCCTTCAAGCTGTCTTCAGCCCAGCCAGCTCATTTTTATTATTTTTTTGCTTTCTTTGTTCCTCAGGTACCGAGTTGAGTATCAAACACTATGCAAAATAGAAGCGGACCAGAATGAATTCATTGACCAGTTTATCTTTCAGAAGTAGACCAAGAATTGATGACAATTGATGACCAAGAGAACGTGACCCATTCCTGTTGTTCCAGAACAGGCAGTTTGGACAGGCTGTGAAAGCATCAACTGAGGACACACCTTGCAAGATCTCCTGTTCAATCTGGAGGATTTCCATTGTCCCCAAGCAACCCACCCTGTGGTTGAGGGGTAATGAAAACCATGGTTGGCAGGTTCCCTGGGAAGATGTTTGCGATTGGATGTGCTTCCAAAGGATGAAAAGGAAGGAGCAACTCTTCTATTTAAGTCTCTCTTTTTTAAAGCAGCTGTTTATAATCAGAGTTTCGATCACTAAACTGTATTTCTCACTGAGTTTGTTCATCTTCCCCACTTTTTAAGAAAATAAAAAAATAACTGTTAGCCTTCGTTTGTTCAATTTTTTTAATACTATTGATCTTAATGTGTTCGGTACATATATTTTAGTTCCTCGCCAAGCGATCCCATCTTTCATTTCTATTTGATTTTTATTATTTATTAACCATCTTCTGCTAATATTGTAGGTAAGTCGGTTGTAAGTATTGTGGATCGTAAAGATTCTATTCTATTAGTAGTTGGTATCAATGGTTGGATTATATTCTCTCATACACTGTTATACTGAGGAAGCCTTGACAAAGCATTCGCCAAGTTTCTCCCTGATGGGACGTATTTTAGTGTGAAGTTAAACCTTTTTCAAAAAATTGCCCAACGAACTTGCTTTGGCGACAACCTTTGTGGATTTTGGAGTGCTTCTAAATTCTTATGATCGGTCCACACCTCAAACGGTTGTAAACTTCCTTCTAATAAATGTCTCCAGTTCAGTAGCATCCAGTGGACCGCAAAGGCTTCCTTCTCCCAAATTGCCCAATTTCGTTCAGCTGGACTAAATTTCTTAGATGTATACGCACATGGTTGTAAATTACCTTCTTTATTTCTTTGCAATAAAACAGCTCCTACTGCTATATCGCTGGCATCCGCTTGAATGATAAATGGTAGAGTTGTGTCTGGGTGTTTCAATACTGGCTCTTTTGCGAACAGATGTTTTAGGTTATCAAACGCTGTTTGGCATTGGTCAGTCCACTTTAACATAGTACTTGGTTTTGGATTTGCAATACCAAACTATTACAATAGTTTGTAATAAATCCGTCAGTGGTATAGCGACATCAGCAAAACAGAATAAATTGTAAAAGTTTGCAAATCCTAAGAAACTTTGCAGTTGTTTCCTGGTTTTTGGAGCTTGACATTTTAATACCGCTTCCACTTTTTTTGGGTCCATTTCCACTCCTCGTTCTGAAATACGATACCCCAAATAATCTAATTGTTTAGTGTGAAATGCACATTTTGATAATTTCACATAAAGTTGGGCATTCAATAATTTTTTAAGCACGTGTCTAACTAATTTAATATGTTCTTGCTTAGAATTAGAATAAATTAAAATATCATCCAAATAAACTAAAACACCTTTATACAAATGTTCATGTAACACTTCATTTATCAATTGCACGAATACTGCTGGAGCTCCTTGCAATCCGAATGGCATAACATTATAGTAGTTACTACCAAGAGGGCAATTAAACATGGTTTTCCATTCATCCCCTTCTCGAATTCTTACTCTATAATAGGCTTCTCTTAAGTCTAGTTTCGTGAATATCCGTCCTTTGGCTAGTGTGGCTAGTAAGTCCTTCACTAATGGCAATGGATACAATGGTTCTAAACAGATGGCATTCAACCCTCGGTAGTCGACACATAAACGCAACCCTCTTTTCTTTTTCTCGGAATAACATGGACGCTGCCATATGGGATCTTCCTGGAGTGATAAATCCTCTTTTTAAATTTTTATCGATGTATTTTCTCATTTCCTCCAATTCCTTTTGGGTCATTGAGTACATTCGTGGTTTGGGTAATGCCACTCCTGGGATCAATTTGATGCCACAATCCGTAGGTCGATGGGGTGGTAAACAATCAGTCCCATCTTCCTTGAATACATCTGCTAAGTCTTCATACTCAATTGGATAGGTTTTTTCGGTAAGTGTTCCCTCTTGATTTATATTAATCGAAAGGCAAGGCAGGCCATCATCATGGCCTGGTGGATTAGGATCAATAGCTAGATGTAATTTACGATAACCACTTTCCCATTGTATCGTGGGTTCCCATTTATCAAGCCAAGCTACCGTGTTTCTCACATAATAAGGCCGGGCCTTTTTTTTTTTTGACCCCCGAAAAAACGGCTAGGCCATCTTTCCGGAGGTGACTTAATTCCCCCCCCCTTGCATCCTCAGGTGGGCGGGTGGCGACAGCTTGGATGTTCGGGAGACCTTCCGCCATCGTTGCTTTCCCTTCTCCCAGCCCGCACAGCTCCTGCACAGCCCTGGCGTGATGAGCGGAGGGTCCGACGGGGAGGTGCTCTCTGCCTTGGTGAGCTGACAGGCAGGCCCTCCTTCCCGGCGGCAGAGCTCTCACCAAGGCAGCGAGCGCCTCCCCGCCGGGCCCTCTGCTCATCCCACCAGGGCCGCACCAGAGCCGTGCGGGCTTGGCAGAGCCAGGAAATACCCGTGGCTTGCTTTCCCAGCTCTGCCCAGCCCGCACGGCTCCGGCGCGGCCCTGGTGGGATGAGCGGAGGTTTTAAAAATAATTCGCTTTACCTTCGAAGGCAAAGGGAAGGCGGCGACAGGAGCGCCTGAAGCCAAGTGTCTCCTCAGGGCTCTGGTTGCAGGGAGGAGCCCTGACTGGCCACACGTGGCTGCGCCAAATGCTGCGGCGTTGCTCTAATGCCGCGGCAGCAAGGGAGAAGGGAAAGCAACGGTGTGAAGTGCCCCACCAATGCAGGCAGCACCATATCCAGGCATGCAACAAAGTACTTCCTAATGGCAAGCCCCCCCCCCACCATCCCCCCCCATTTTGCATGTTTAATATGGGCCTTAATTTGGGGGGAGGGGCTTAATTTGATTTTATGCCAATAAATCATGCTGGGGCTTCCTATCGGTGGAGGCCGTATTGTTGGAGAAACACGGTAGTCCCAGAATTAATGCTTCGCTCATGTGAGGAACCACCACAAAAGAAATCCACTCCCAGTGCTCTCCCATCACCATTTAATATATTCAGTTCTATGAGTTGCTGGAGGTCCACCCAATATAGATCCACCCACCTGTTCAAATTTAATAGGAACACCTAATTTAATAACTCTTTTTATCAACTACTGCTTGAGTTATTAAACATCTTGTGCACCCTGAATCTATCAATGCCCCCACCTTAATTCCCTGATCAGTCCATTTACTCCATTACCCTCTCCACCATTATCTTCAGCCACTTCTGCGCCTTCCTCCACTGTCCATTCGGGATCTATGCCTTCTGCCATTATCCACAGTGAAGTAGGTTTGTTTGTTTGAGAATAAAGAAGAGTACTGACTTTCTGTTAGCCTTCATTTGTTCAAGTAGGAACTATAGCAATAAACTATGTTACTCACAGGATTCGTTGTGAATAGATACGTTTATTTTTGCTCGTTTTCCTTCAAACATGGCAACAACGGATGTACCGGATAAAGTCAGCGCTGAGATCATTCGTCTCTCAGTGCAATTTATCAAGCAGCCCCACCCCATGCATCTAACTAACATCCGCCCTCCCCATTAGTCCTACATGCCTCCACCCCGCAATTCTAAATGGCACTAATTACCAAACAGAATGTGGTTTCAATTCCCAGGTTGTGCCATAACTTCCCCAATGATTGTTTGTGTTTCGTTTCGGGTAATGAGAGGCGTTGGGGTGACAAACCCTCTCCCACCCCATCCCCGCTGTACGTTCACGCTGACACGAGACAAATCGAACTGGGGTGAGATCCTCAAAAGCAAGAGACGCCTTCCAATCAAGTTGATTGCAAATGGCAGGATTGGACTTTCACTTCCCAATCAAGACAATGTGCCGGGATTCACCTCAGGAGATAAACCGGTCAACTCTTTGAATCCCAACAATAACATGCTTTCATGGAACAATTAATTGTCTTTTGAAATGCTGCATTTACCACTGCACTTATATCATGGTGATGTTCGGTAGAGAGAAGGTAGCATGCCAGAAACAGATGACACATGGCCAGTGAAAGAGAGGAGGAACAGGAGGGGGAGGAGAAAGAGGAAGGCACCTGAATTCAATTTTAATCCCACTCCATAAGGTGAAATAAAGAAAAGTCAAAATGGCATTGTCAGGATTCCAGCAGTCGCCCTAATTAAATCATGATTCTCGAGCCAAACTTCAAAAATCATCAAAGGATTTATTAGAGGCAACATACTGGCATTGCCCTGTATGAAGCCAACTCTGGCATATGTAATTTTCAGTCATCTATGACCCTGTTTCCTCCCTCCCCCCTGGGTGTCTCATAAATAAGATTCTCCAATTAAGCATGTTCATGAGTTGGGTGTCATCATTCACGTTCTCCAATTAAATATATTCACGGGCAAAAGCTCTGGTAGCTTAGTTACAATCTCTTAAAGTTAAGTGTTGGAATGTACTTTCAATTTCAAACTGCTCTTCCAGATTTCCTTCCCCCCCTTTTTTTTATGGTAACTACTAAAACAGGCATAGGAATGCTTTGTGAGTTTACAGGGATGTAATCAAAGCTCTGCTTTTTCTGCATACACATCTGGGTGGAAGGCTGGTTCAGAATCAGGAGACCTGGTCACATTTCAGAGGCCGGGACAGGTTTACATACCCTTCAAATCAATCCTCCCTTCTGGTGCTGCCTGGACCCATTTTTCAAAAATGATTGTCCTTTCCTTTTTTCATGGAGTTGAGAGAGAGGGACTGACCCAGAAAACTCTGCTGGTTTCATGCCTAAAGGCAGGACTAACTCTGCCTCCCTGCTTCTAGAGAATTTCTTTAATCACTATATCAGGTTGACTTAAATATTACATTGAAGGGATTTTAGGTCCTTTCTTTCTCAGTTTATATTAGCAAATTCACTCAGAGCAGAGGTCCCCAAACTTGACAGCTTTAAGACTTGTGGACTTCAACTCCCAGAATTCATTCTCCAGTCATGTTAGCTCAGGAATTCTGGGAGTCGAAATCCACAAGTCTTAAAGTTGCCAAGTTTGGAGAGCTCTGACTCAGAACAACCCGTAGGCCAGGGGTCTTCAAACTTGACAAGTTTAAGACTTGTGGACTTCAACTCCCAGAATTCAGGTCATGTTAGCTCAGGCATTCTGGGAGTTGAAGTCCACAAGTCTTAAACTTGACAAGTTTGAAGAGCCTTGCCCTAGCCGAACTGCACTAATCTTCAAAAGTAAAGCTTTGTAGATTTTGATTGGCAATTGGATGGGAAACCACCAGGAGACCTCTGAGCATTAGAGTAGTGTAGGAGAAACATTTTAGTAACAGTAATAGTATGACAGAATTGGAAGGAACCTTGGGGGTCTTCTAGTCCAACTCCTTGATCAGGCAGAATACTCTATGCCATTCTAGAGACAAATAACAGTCCGATTTCTTAAACGCTTCCAGTGATCGAGCACCCACAACATCTAGATCAGGGGTGTCCAACCTTGGCAACTTTAAACCTTGGTGGACTTCAACTGATCTAGAGGTAACCCATTCTACTTATATTTTTTCTCACTGACAATTACTGTCCTCCCTAGTTCTAGGTTGGATCCAGTGGTGAGATTCAATTTTTTTTACTACAGTTCTGTGGGCGTGGCTTGGTGGGTGTGGCAGGGGAAGGATACTGTAAACTCCATTCCCTCCCCACTCCTGGGGGAAGGTTACTGGCAAAATCCCCATTCCCTCCCCATCCCACTAACCTACTTTCCAGCTCCGTTCTCCTGTTCAGGGCAGCAAAAGAAGACTCAGCTGATCAGCTGGGACTTGGGAGGCAGAGAATAGATGGGGGCAGGGTCAGTCAGAGGTGGCATTTGCCGGTTCTCCGAACTACTCAAAATTTCTGCTAACGGTTCTCCAGAACTGGTCAGAACCCGCTGAATACCACCTCTTAGATATGTTTCCAGCCCTTACTTCTTGTCTTGTCGTCAGGTGCAGGGATTCAGGTGAATAGCAGTGTTATTTAATAAAAGCATTCCAACATTGTCTTGTTTTAGCTATGCCTATTTTAATGGATTTGTAACATGTTTTAATTCTTGGTTTTATTGTACAGCATCCAGAGTCACTTGGAGCCAGATAGGCAGCCATATACATTTGATAAGTAAAAACAAAAAAACAACCACAGGAGGTATTCATGGGAATACCTCCCACACACCAAGTGGATTAAACTCATGGGAATTTTTTTCTATTCCTATTGGTTTAAATGGGCAATTTTCAGATTTAGAGTCCACATGGCCCAAGAAACGTCCAGACGCGCTTGGTCAGGTGTGTGTGTAACATAAGGGCGTCCGGTGAGACCTTTAATGAAGATGTCTATGGAGATTCTCGGTCATCCAGGTCATGATTGTCCCAAAGGTGCTTTTTCAAGAGGCAACTGGACTTTCTTCTTTTTCTTTGAAGACCTTTTGCTTCTCATCCAAGAAGCTTCTTCAGTTCTGACTGAATGGTGGAGTCAGAGCTGAAGAAGCTTCTTGGATGAGAAGCGAAACGTCTTCAAATTAAAAACAAGAAAATCCAGTTGCCTCTTGGAAAAAAAGCACCTTTGGGACTTTAGCAAAGACCCTTCCCACGCCCAAGAGGTCTGCTTGAAGAACTGGGTGGACACGAGGCCACACCCTCTGCGGGAGAGTCGAAAGGTAAGGAGAAAAGTGAGCCTTCTTCCCGGCCCCCACCAGTCCTACGGACACGCAAGAGGCGATCATCGCAGGTCACGCCCTCAAGTGGACCTTTGTCTTCTACTTCCTCGCTCACATCCCGCGGATGTTATTCAATCGATATGCCTTCGTTGTTGCCTGTAGTTTACCCTTCTTCCATAGAGAGGAACTGCCGAGATCTTATACAAGCTGTTCCAACCTAAGGTGTCAGAGCTCCGCCTCGCAAAGGAATTTGCGCCCCAGTTTGCGTATGCCCGGCTGTTTGGAGGTTGACAAACCAGGATTCATTGGGGAATGGGAAGAAGCTGTGTCGCATCATCTAGCTCCGGATGAATCTCCTACCCAGCTTGTCTGGATTACCAAGGGTCTTTTAGGAAGATGGGGGATACTACTCTTAAGAACGCGCTTTCCCACACTCTGGGTTTAGTAAAAGAATTGGACTAGAGGTTTTTGTAAATAAGCCTATTGGTCTAGATTCCAGCAATCTTGCAGCAAGTTGGGTTTCTTGGAATTAAGTTTCTGGATCAAACTATTACATAAACACATTCCTTGTGTTTGATCTTTGTTTATTGTTTTGAGGGCTTTGCAAAATGTTTTAATCCTTCGTTTTATCGTAGGCCACCCAGAGTCTCTGCATATGAGATGGAGGCCACATAAATCTGACCGATCAATAACTCTATGTGACCCAAGATAAAATCTATAGTTCACCTATTCCTGGAGTCTTATATGCTAATCCTCTCGTCCCTGCTTGGACTCTGCTTTTAAAAAGGGCCTTGGCTGTTTCTTCTTGGATCAATGTTAAAAGAAGCTGGACTTAATCCTTACATTGCCTAGTGATAGATTCATAGATTGATTGATTTAGATCAGAGGTCTCCAAACTTGACAACTTTTAAGACTTGTGGACTTTAATTCCCAGCTTTGCTTTGGCTGAGGAATTCTGGGAGTTGAAGTCCACAAGTCTTAAAAGTTGCCAAGTTTGAGGACCCCTGATTTAGATAGACAAAAATGACTATATATATATATATATGTAGTACTTTTAAAAAATAAAGTGGGCCAGATCTTCACCTCCCGCCATTGATAGAAGATTAAAGAAGGACTTGTGTGCCTTCCTCTTTCTCCTCCCCCTCCTGTTCTCCCCCTCCCCTTTCACTGACCACCTGTTTTTTATGTCCCGAAGCTGTCCCAGTTTTTCACCTGGTACACAACTACCTTCAAGGATCCACTAATGGGGAATCCCGAGCCCTTATTTCGCTCCCTTCTTTACATGGAAACCATTCTAGAACTGATTTTCTTCCCCATTGCCACCTATGCTTTCTGGAAAGGTGCCAGTTTAGATGAATTGGGGTTATTTTTTTGGAGAATGGCTGGAGGTTGGGAATGGGGTGGGCTGGAGACAGAATTCCTGGAGAGAAGAAGGCAAGGATTCCCACACAGAGTTGAAGATTGGAAAGTGTTCATGAAAACTATCGGGGCTCAGAGGTGCATATGCCGGACTGGGCAAACTGGTGGTAGCCTAGGTGGGCTTAGTGGTAGCCTAGGTGGGCTTATCTTCCTCAAATGATGAAAGATGGCACAATCTGCAGTAATTATATCTCGATGCACATCAAGAAGTCATCCGTAGAGTTTTGACCTGGGACTGTAACAGTGGAATTTTTTTTTCTTTTAAATGCAGGGAATTGCAAGTGGATCCGAATTCCTGTGGTGATCTACACAACACACATAATTACAGTGGCAGTTGCTTGCCTGGCCCAGATCCTGTTTGCTGATTTCTCCAATGCCCAAGTCCTCAGCCCAGGAACCCTGGAGGAACACCTGCCTCTCTCCACTGCCTTTGCTCCTTTCTTAGTGGTTCCCCTCCTGATGCTGCTTCTGGTGCTCTTCAGCGCTGCTTACAACCAAGTGGAAAAAGAGAAAAAGAAATAAAGGCATTGGCTCTTCTTCTCCTGCAGGAAGGGAATGTGCAAACTGGGTCAAGTGTGCTGGTGTTCCTGGGGGAGCAGAGCATGGCTGAGGCCTTGAGGTCCCTGTGAAGTGGGAAATGCTCTCAGGAGTGTTTTTTCAAAAGGACTTCCTTTGTTTTTTCCTTCAAGGCAATTTTGATACTCATTCAAGAAGCTTCAGTTCTCAGTTC